CTGTGAATGTGGTTTTTGGCCAGAAATTTGGCCATTTTCACACCCCACTCTGCACTCATATGTACTTATTTGACTGCACTTCTACCCAAGAATGTGTACATGTTAAATATCACTACTACTGTATAACAGTCCATTCATCCATTTAATAACGGTTCATAAAGTCAGTGCATCACATCCAGCCCGGACGTTTCCCCTCGGCCATGGCTCTAAACTACCCGCGCCTGGGGCTTGTTAGTCTTACCTCTCATTCTTGCCCTCCAATTAATCACGTACAGCTGCCTCCTGTCTGCTCCATTGTTAGTCATGTATATAAGCGATTCAGTCCTGTGCTCCCTGTCTGGCCATTGTGACCTGTCAGCAGTTGGTCAACTGTCCTGTTCGGCTTAATAACCCCCCCCCCCCCGGTTTAAAAGTAGCCTGGATTTTGGTCATCCCTTACTTGTTAACGTGACACAGTGTCTTGGTGAAAAAGTTCCTATACAAAAAATAAGGCACACAACTCAGCATGACTAAACCTTAACCACAGCAAACCTGCTTCCCAAAATTTGTATTTTTATTTTTGCATGATCTCAAATGATATACTATCAGATAAAATATTATATTTAAGGAACTGCTCCAAATACATGACAAAACTAGCAGGATAATTGGAGCTTTTCCCTTCAAAATGACTGACTGCGGCAAAGAGGCTTTCATTATTTTCTGTAATGATTTAATAAGCACATTTTAATAGCATGATGTAGAGAAATGGCAGAAACGTCTTATCTTGTTGCCACATCAAGAATTAAGAGTGCAAAAAAAATAATAAATAATTGCCATTGCTCTTTCTACAGCAGGGGTCACCAACTCCGGTCCTGGAGGGCTACTATCCAGTAGGTTTTCTATCCTACCTGGCTTCTGATGAGCCACACTAGTTCTCAGGTAAATACCAGGAGCAGGTGTGGCTCATCAGAAGCCAGGTAGGACAGAAAACTTACTGGATAGTAGCCCTCCAGGACCGGAGTTGGTGACCCCTGTTCTACAGTGTTAGAAGAGCACATCTATCATCTTTTCAGTCCTTTTGCTAAATGCAAATCTAAGGACAACTGGAGCCATAGTAGGTGAGGATTTTGCAGTCATTCCAGGGGTGGTTAATATGTAAAATTATATGTAAAATAAAGTTTATATGTAATATGTAAAATAAAGTTTATAGAAGGAAATAGCAGCACAACACGTTTGCCCAAGTATTAGTCAATATACAGCATAACACAAAACCCAAATTTCACAGGTTAGAAGATCATTATTATGATGGTTAGGCAGTAATTCACAAGGGAAATAAATCACCATATAAATTATTTTCCAACAGCATGCAAAACAAGATCTCTACATTCTAATGCATTCTAATTTCATTCTAGCCAAAATGACACTGTTGGAAAGGCGAGCTCAAAACCAGACTGCCACAAACACACAAAAAGCAGTTGGTTCTTGCAGGGCATAGATTGTAATTTTCTTCCTTCCATCTGGACTGCATAATGGATGGTTGTAAAATGCAGAAGAGTGTGTGTGTGGGGTAATAAAAAGCCTAGTTAATGAAGGTAACCATGGCACTAGCTTCCATTTCGATACCCTGAAGATCTTGAGGAGCAATTAAAACAATGCAGACATATTGAGCAATAGAAGATCAGAGGGACCTTATTCTTGATCAATTATATGTCAATAACCTGATGCTGTAGGAATGCACTTATAGCACACTTGGAGAGAATGGGACCTCTTGCTTCTCTTAGAAGGGTAGCATACATGTGGTTTTGGGACCGGTCCACCACCACAGATACTTTTTCATTAGTGTGATAACTCAAAAAGTATTTGAGGGACCTTTTTAAAACTTTGCAAACACATTATCTGTGTGATGAAATGGAACGAATTAAATTTTATATAGGTCACACCAAAACTGTAGCACCTCTGCACAGGTCTCCACTGCACAACGTTTTCGTCGCATATGCAACTGTTTACAAATTTTAAAAAAAACTATTCTCTAGTGCATTTGTGAATTGGACAGAGCCATCATTGTATATCACATGAAACAGCACACCAGGAAGGAGCGAGGATTCATGTGAAGGATTGGGTATTGAGAACCTGTTCCAAATTAGAAACCATTCTAAATTTTTAAGAACTGGGAATTCCATAAGACATATGTAGTGATACTGCAACATATAGCATAGCCTGTTTTGCAGGTGTTTTGTTGGTGAATTATGGCCAGAAGCAGGTTGTCTAGTACTAGCTTTCTGTTAGCATCAGATGGAATATATATGGCTATGATTTTTATAATCGTAAACTATACTATACTATACTATACTAGCGAGGGGGAGCAGTGACTATCAACAATCAGAAAATTACATATCACCCAAACCTACTACGGGGGGCCTACAGACAGAGGCAAGGGGTTGAAGTGACAGCGCAATCCACGGAATACATTGTTGTCATTTTTTAAGCCTATTTTCCATTCATATGCACGCTCAACCTAACTAGTCTTGTGTTATAATAAAATGCTAATATAACAACTTTTTGTTTGTTTGCTAGAGTTTAGTTTTCACAAGTTTGGTATCTGGTACAATATACAGATTTTATAAACACCGCACTGTGCCTGTGGGGCAGTTTTTTGCCAGCTAAGTGTAACTTGTTTGTGTACAGTCGTTAAAAATCTAGGTAGCAGTAACATTTGATCTCAGAAGAAAATCACAATGTGGTCATTATGTGTATGTCTGTATGACATTACATGGTAGTTACTGTTACAGTTACATAAGAACACAAGAAATCTTACTGTTACGGTTCTTACGGTTATGTAAGCCTTGGCCATAGTACAAATAAGAAAGTAATAAACAGAATCTAAATATTTAGATATGTAAAGAATATAAATATAATGAATGACATTTTAAGCATTGACATTAAGACATACATTTAACCATTTAAATTGAATGTAAGTGGAATGTGCAATAAATGAATAGGTGTAGTTTCAGAGTTACATGACACAACTAGGACTCACAGCATTCAGGTAAAAACACATCTACTGGCTTTCGCATTTCCAGTTGATCCATCCAATAATCAAAGAAATTGTAGAGGTTGGGGGTGCAGGAGGAGTAAGGATTAGATGGGGGAGGGGTGGTGGGCCTGTCCGGGGAACACACTGTTATATATCCGACAGCATCATCAGTTACCAGTGAGCGTTTTCATCCATTCCTGGTCATCAAGGTCTGCAGGGCACGTTGTTTTATGCTCTAGCCCTCATCTCGATTACTTTATTGATGGTATTGTTTCAAGTGTAAGTTACCCCATTTCATGGCTTAGACATCAATCAGACACTAATTAAAATTACTTTGTAATTACATATTCATCCAATAAATTTTGTACATGAAGTGCTCCCACAATGGGTTTTGGTATTGCAGGTTCAGGTGGATTTAAAATGTATTTTTTTTGTTATAAATGTAGTACGTGCAAGAAGGAATTATACTGGGAATTCTACAGTCACGCTGGTTAACAGGCCAGCTCTGCCTTCAATTTAACTTAACCAGCCTGCGTGCCCCGAAGGCCAGACCTTGGGCACATTGAACCCGGTGTAATTGTGCTTCACTGAAGAAGGCTGTGCTTTGTTGTGCCTTGAGGCAAAACTGAAAGGTAATCATTGTGTACAGAGTGTTCAACGTGGATTTCAACAGCAGATTCCCGGTGCCCAGTAGCAGTATGCTGTTGTACTGGTATTCATGTGCACCTGTGCCAGCTGCTGAGTAAAATTTAAGTGAAGTAGACTTCAATTCTGCACCTCGATTCCAAATCCAGGCCTTGTTTTCAATTCTCCCAGTTAGGTAGTTTAATAATTATTGATTCTGATTGGCTGCAGGCTTTACACCCGGCTCACAGGTAAAGGAAGGCTGGGAAATCAGCGAGGCTCGGCCTTTTAGGACCGTGATTCGAATAGCCCTGCTCTAGACTGACCCCCCAACTGGGTATAATTTCAGACCAGATCATATATTAGTCACTAATATAAATATAAATATTTCTTAATTAATGACTAAAATATATTAGTGGCAATATTAGCAAATAGTAAAATATTTCCTTCGGTTGCTAATTTGTATCAAATGTAGTCCTATTTAGCCTGTATCCTGAGTCTTTAATTGTGTGATGATTAACCTGGTGAGGTGATGCTTATAAAGTGATGTGGACAAAAAATTATGTTTTTATCAGAACAGCAGCTCCCATTGTTGCCAGAGTTTTCATCCTCAATTGTGTTCCCTAAATGCCAGCTCCTGTTGACCCTAGAATTAAATTGCATTGTTTGCTTTTCAGAATCTCTGTTCTGTTTAGCGAACCCATCAGTCTGCACTAGGGCTACCACTTTTGATCTGAAGTAATTAGGGTGATCACTCCACATCCCTACTTCACCTTTAGTCTTAAAAAAACTGCCAGTGATGTACACTGCCATTGTCCCTAGAGATGTAAATCAAACTTAATTCCTCAGCAATGTTTAAAGCGAGCAGGGAAAACAAGCACAGACATTAACCTGTCAGTACTACGTAGCATTTACTGGAAACTATTTGGCATCTGACTGGATGTACTGGAGCAAGATATAGAGGCGATGTACTTCAGAGCTGTTAGAACAGTCATTAAAATATTAAAATTTAAAAATGTAGACTGATATTTTTGGTCACATGTTCCAGCTTTGGGTCTACTTTGTCCTTTAGCAAGGTTGTGAATCTTCCTTATCTGATTGATGGTCTCTTTATTCCCTGTTAATTAGAAGCCAAAACACAAGCTATGGTTGAGGTCTCACAATTCTTATTTGTTACCCATGCTATAGTTACTGTATATGCACTGGAGAAATTCCATGCCGTAAAATTCCAAATTCCCCAACGTCCAATCTGACAGGTTGATTCATATCATTAATATTCTACTGGCACAGCAGACTGCCAGTGTGACATTTTGTGGGTATTTATACTCAAGGGGAATAAGAAATGAAAATACAATCACAGCCCTGCTTTTATTCCGCACTTTATTAACATATGTTACATTTTCCTTTAAATGTCTAAGTCATACATTCTGATTCCAATCAGAAGGTTTGAGTCAGCACCTACAGTAATGTACTGTATTTTTATTGTTCATTCATTCAGCAAAAACACACAGAGAAACACTCAGCTTTCTGATTACAATGTTCACCCACAGCTCAAAAGGGTTTCCCATGGGGTGGGCGGGGGGAGGCTGGGGGGGCTGTGAATCAGGAAACAGAGTGAAAACCTGACAAGTAAACAGATCAGCAGCATGCATAAATTCCAGAAAAAAAATCCAAATGCTTTCCCTCCCTAAAAGCTTAATATTTCCAATAGTATGATGGTGGTTGGCGGCGGGACAGGGAGTGACTCCCTCCCACTGCCAACAAACAAGAACAGAAGGACCCAAAACGTGTTATCTGTCCTTTATTTTAAAAAGTAATGATATGTCATTCAGGCACAACAGGATAATAAATAGTTACTGTTATTCAGAAATGGGCAAATTCAAGATACGTATACGGGACACAAAGTGTCACTACAATATTTCTAGATGTGTGTTTTATGCATACACGTCTTTTTAACTTTAATCCTGCCCCAGAACTGATCTGGAATGCATCTAGAGCCCCAGTATTGGGCCCTGACCCATACACAGTGGATGACCGAAGCTAAAGAATTTTGATAATCTGTGTATAAACAAGTAAAAAAAAAAAACTCTCAGGAGAAACCAGGTTGAAACAAAATCGGGATGTAAGAATTATTAAAACACTTTAAATATGGTTGACTCATAACTGAAACAATAAGTCAAACAGAATCTGAATGGATTTTCACTGTGAATTTAACACAGATTTTCACTGTGAATTTAACACAGATTAAGAATCATCCATAAATTAGCATCCTTATCCCCATTGTTTCTGCACAAACACACATTGTAAAATTAAAATGATCTTTTTGAAATATTTTAAAAAAAAATTGGCCCAGAATGAATTCAGGGGGCTTGTGATGGATCTTTAGAAAAGCTAGTGACTGCCCAAACCTGACTTAAAAAGCAAATAATTTGTTATCCTCATTTCTACAAAGAAAATCTGAGTCCAACACAAAATGCCAAGCTGAGAGCAGAGAGAGCTGGGGGAGGGGAAAGACATTAACTTCACTTATACCCACAAATATTAGGATCAACAAAGCTAAAGTTATTCCCTTTCTTTGCCAGTATTCACATATATTGTTTAATTATCCACTTAAAAAATGTATTACAACATGCCGCTGCTATATTTGTGGAAACACAGACTTAAATGCTGTTGGGTATTTTTACCTTTTTTAACCAAAATGTTTCTTCCAAGCTTCAACAGCACTGGGTAGTGGGTTTAAATGTTGATTTACAATCAGCTACATGACTGGAGTCTCCCAATCAACCAATCAGAATCCGTGCTCTTCTCCACCATTAGGACCCGCCAATAGACCAAACGTGATGAAGAAAGGTTTCTACAGTGCAAAACAAAAAACACAAAAACAAAGACAGCCCACTGCATGACGAAACCTCAGGCCAGGCCTGTCTTGGAGCAGCTCACATTTGGACGAAAATGCCAAGCAAGACCTGCTTCAAAGAAGGTCAAGATGGGTGGGGGTGGGGGGTAGGGGGGAGTCCACACACCACCATCCCCAGCCATCTAAGGTCGAAAGCAAATCAGAAAGAAAAAATTAACTTTACAAAGCTAAAATTCTTTTCTCTAACAATGAATAGCAGCATTTCTTTAAATAAACAATTCTGTATTTTAAACTACAGCAAAAAGAAAATTCCTGAGGATGAAATGCAACTACATTTGAAGAAGAGCCATTTGCAGGTCTGCAAAGGACTCACTATTACCTACTATTACATGTCAACAAACACTTTACAGGTACAGAACTACATCTTTTACAGGACCTCATGTAACGGGTGAAGGGAACACACCACAAGATTGGGACAGGGTGCATGTTGACTCAAACAATGTGACCAAACACTGCTTCAAACATACCAATCCATGGAGTGAATAGCTATTGACTTATTATTTCTAATATTAGTAATACATTTTTAGGCTCCGGTACCATTTCAGGTTAGTACTAGTTGGCCCCAGCACTTAAATTTGCTTTAGCAATTTAACATTGTTTTCGGGCAAAAAAAAAAAATGCATTGTCACAGGCAAGTTCATATAGCTGCTGATCTGACAGTTCGACTCCTGGATATCCCCCTTGAATTTTTTTTTTAATTTTTTATATTTTATACATAGGGATGAATCACACATACTTAAAAAAAGAATGAGGGAAAAACCCTTTTCTACCAGACCAAATTGTGCTTTCACATCCAGTCTTCCAAGCTTTCGCATGTTCTCTCTGAAGCCTAGGCTTAAACAACACATTTATAACAGAAATTAGTGTTCAAGCATGATTGTATAAACGGAGTCTCAAGCAAACCCACGCCGTGCTAGCCGGGCCTCTGGAATGTTCCGGAAATTCACCCGGGAGTTCCAGAGGCCTCAGACACCAGTCAAAGTGATTCCCCCATCCTCCCCACCACAAGGGAGGTGAGTTTTTCTTCATTGTTTTTGGGCAGGGGGGTATGCTACAGTCCGTTGTAGTGGGGCCCCCAGCGCTTGTTGATGTGGTCAAAGGTATGGGATACCCACTGCTGCCGGAGAACCCGGTAGCGCTCCTCGCACAGGAACAACGGCTTGCCACGGCTGCAGGAAGGAAAATGGACAAACAAAATGTACGTCTGTGACCCACTTTGCACTTAAAATTTGCCAGCAATACCTGAAACTTTCAAAAGACCAAGCTTCTTGACTTCTACCATTCATCACAACATCACTGCCCAGACACTGTCTCCCCACCTCATAGATTTATTTAACATATAACATCAGGAAGATCAGAGCAGAAAAAGCAGCTCAACTCCTTATCCAGGAATTTGTCATCTCACATGATTACTGTAAGTGGCAGGACGTATTCTCTGGTATTCAGTCAGCTGACATGATTTCATCTAAAACTTCTTCTTGTATCTCTCCATTGATTTGTCCTAGAAGGTGTGAATGGAATGGCACCTTCCCATGTTCATCAGGACCTACGCTCTGCCATGCTCTCTATGGTCAGCAAGCCAACATGATCTAGTGATCAAGTCTCGCTAGTTGCTTTCATGTGTAGCTCCTCAGTGGTGCAATGGTGCACAAATGGTCAGCAGGGTTCTTCACAACCTTCAAGAACGCAAGACCCATGTCTTCCAGAAGAACCTCAGCGAATTCATTTTACCACTGACTCTCCAGTGATACATCTGCATGGACTTTCCCAGCCTAGTCAGCTTCAGACAGCTGAATTCTTGTGATATATTATGTGACTCCCTTTTATGTTACTTTGGACAAAAGCATTTACCAGTTAAATAAAGGCAAATGTAACACACATATTGTGCTTATGACTGTACATCTAGCCACCACACTGTATCAGTCTATTTTGGATTATAAGATGGTTTTCAAGCTATTATTGAGGCACGCATATGGCTGTCATCGGTAGATCAAAGTGACCTTTAAAGATCATGTAATTACCTTCCTTACACAGTTGCCCAAGCCCTCCCCCAATCCTGGTACCTGCATGAATGCTCATGCAAAAAACAAGTCAACTGAAATGATGGATTGATAGAATGAGTTACGGGTTTAAATAATATCAATAAATAATCAAGGAAAAGAATATTGTTTCCAGGGCAACCACAGATATGCTGTTTCTGAGGCAACACCCCTAATGACACCAGGGTTTGTGGACGTATGTGTAGGTGATTTACCGGAGGTCACGGTCCTCCTCTCCATGAGCATCCAGGTAGACTGAGCCCCACAGACAGAAACGATGGCCTCGGATGATGATGATGACAGAGGCATTGATCAGGAGGAATATTCCTGTCGCTGCTCCACAGGCCTGGGAGTGCTGTTGAAGGAAAGAGACATGAAGTGTGTCACAGAGTCACAGCCCAAGTTAAACTGTGACCCTGCTGTCTTTGCATACAATCTAAACACACTGACAGTCAGGTACTGCTAAGGTTATGCAATCAGTAATCTGGCAGCCAAATCTGTATAAAAATCAAGGAAACAAAACTGGAAGGAAACAAAACTGAATGCTGTTGGAACAACAACGATGTATTCCCTGGATGGCCCCTCACTGAACACTCACTAGCACACACTGGCAGCACGCACTGGCAGGGCATCTCACTGAACACTCACCAGCACACACTGGCAGGGCACCTCACTGAACACTCACCAGCATGCACTGGCAGGGCACCTCACTGAACACTCACCAGCACGCACTGGCAGGGCACCTCACTGAACACTCACCAGCACACACTGGCAGCACGCACTGGCAGGGCATGTCACTGAACACTCACCAGCACGCACTGGCAGGGCATGTCACTGAACACTCACCAGCACGCACTGGCAGGGCACGTCACTGAACACTCACCAGCACGCACTGGCAGGGCATCTCACTGAACACTCACCAGCACACACTCGCAGAAGCTCTGCTGCTTGCAGCACATCCCCTTGAGACAGACGAAGGTGCCACAGACGAGACAAAGGGCCGGGTCCTTGGGCACCTTTTTGCAATAGGAGCAGGCCTTTCTGTGGTAGTACTGAAAGATGGTGTTGTAGTTCTCAGGTAATTGAAGGAGGTGCGGTGCTGCCCACTGGGGGTCCTGCACCAGCAGGGTCTATTGAGGGATGGGTGACATTAATGATGCATTAATATGACACAGAGTAACAAAAACACAGTCCAGCTCCATACCACACCTCCATTTTTATGCAGAAACTGCTCACAAGGATCTTTCACTTAGCAGGTAATACTGTCCCTCACAGCCCTAGCTAAGGCTCAGTCACAGACTGCCTCTCCGATTCCGGTCCATCGATCTTCATAGAGTCTGACATGGGGAGCACCAAATCCCCAGTCTGAGTCAGTGGCTTCATAGAGATGCAAATGGAAATCATGCTCCTATCTCAGAGTGGTGCCAGGTGGGAAAATTATTTTACTTCTGTTTCAATGCTGAGACTGGCGAGCAAAAAAGAAAAATTTGGGACTGATATCTTACCTGCAAATCCTAAATTAGGAGGGAAAAAGAGGGATACCCTTTCTGACTGTGTTCATACAATATGAATAGCTAACTATCCCATTTTACATACTGTACGTTTTACAGCTATTTCACCTAAACCGGACTCAGGCTTTAAGACATTAGGTGGGACAGAGGATTCTTTGGAGGGGTCGAGCTGAGCAATGTTTGGGTGAAATGGTTCTAAAAACCTTGCTTGCTCCCTTCTTTTTTTACACTCACCTGAGAGTCGTCGGCCTGCATTCCCGCCAGGCCGGTGACCTCGGCACACCACTGGGACATGAGATCAAAAGCACACACCGGCCACTCCAGGAAGCTGGCGCTGTACGATGGACCGGAGGGCAGCAGGGCCAGGGGGGAAAAGCCCAGACAGTCGGCTAGGACCGAGAACTCGTCCTCCTTCTGACCAAAGACACAAACGCGGGCATCTTGTTAAAACCTTTAACACTACCTACAGGTATAACCACTGAGAGAGAAGCGCCTTACGGGGCAGCCGGCCAGGTTGTCCCCATAGAGGTGATGCTGCAGGAGGCAGGAAAGGCGGAGGAAGGGCAGGCAGAACTGCTGCAGGCTGTACTCTATGGACTGGGGGGACCAGACGCTGGAGCTCAGCTGGGGGGGTTAGGAACATGATCACACAGAGCCTTCAGATTTGTACCTTCATTCACATTCATGCTCCATTCAGAAGAAAAAACACTATGCAGCAGCACAGGAATATAAAACCTATTGACCAGGAGTCCAACATAATGGGCTATATTAGTCTGCATTAAATAGGTAGAAACTCACAATTGGTGGGATTAGTGAGTGCTGTCAATCATGGCTAGCTTAAGCCAATGAGATTATCCAATAGAAGATGGGTGATATCAGGTGGCGACTGACAGCACATTATAATCCCACCCGCTCGGAGTTCTGAAGCCTTCAAAAGCAGCCAGAATCAGAACCAAAGAATGAGGAATGTGTCTGGGGACACTGGTGCACTGCGGGTATCCTACCATGGACATGTGGTCGCCGTCGTCCTCGTACACGTTCCTGCCTCGGGACAGCTCATTGATGGCGTGGCTCAGAAGGGCCTCCCAGCTTCTGTCCGCGTTGGCGAGGCCCTGTGGAGCGAAAGAGCCCAAGCGTGACAGCACAGCCACCATATCAGCGCGGCCCTGGCTGTACAGTTAGGCCTGCTGACACCTTGGCATTGCCAACAATCAGTGTGACGGCAGCAGCAAGGTCTGAGCCCTGAGGTTCCTATTTGTTACTTTGTTAACCATACACCACGGTTTCACCTGGCTAAAAATAAAATAAATAAATAAATCAGACAACGACTGACATTCCTACCAATCTGAATCATTTTTCTTAGCACTATCCATACATCGGGCATCTCGATCATCATTCCGGAGGTAATTAACTCTGGGCTTTTGCTTTGGGCCGGAAAATAGACTGTAGTCTGGTCTCGCTGCCCTCACTCTCCACTGGTAGAATTAAACAAATCCCGCTTCCTCAAGAATGCCCCTCCCTGCTTTTCTTACTTCTGGTTCATTGATGAAATGACAGAATCTTTAAGGAATTTCTTTCATTCATCTACAAAACGTAAAACTAACATCCTGCTATGACATGCAGCCCAACATACCATTGGGATCCCTCCCAATAGCACAGTAATCAAACAAATGTTCCCAATAACCACGTCCAGCCCTGAGATGTGCTGGCCTACATTACACACGATGCAGACCCCAGTACAATGGATTCCTCTGTACCAGTGTCTAGGTCAGTCCCCCAGTATATAATACCACATTATAATTCACATACAGAAAGCTGGCCATCTTTTTATGGACCAAATATTTGACCTCTGACAAGTGCTGAAACATTACAGGATGAGTGTTGAGATGAAATCCAGCTGGTTTGACTAATACTTCATGTGAGGTAAAGCAGCCAGCATTTATCAAGCCGACAGTAAAAGAATACAAAAATGGCAGCCCTCTTATCTATTTCCCCCCTCCCTGTGGTAGATTTATGGCTGGAGACGTCACGCCTCAAGGCTCCATTTTCCCAGCTGATGCTCCCCTCTGGTGCAATTTAAGGTTTTTATATTCCCAACCGTGTAAGAATTAGGCATGGCAGCACACGTGGGTGATTTAAGCAGGGACTGTTAGGAATCCTTTATATTCCCCGAAAAAGGACACCGTCCGATCAGGCATTAAAAAAAACACTATAAGACGGTTTTGAAAACACAATAAAAGAAACAATTTTGCATGAGCTTTTGTCTAATAATTCCTTTTATATTTCGGGCACCATCTCTATAATGCAGCTTTAATGCAAATGTCTCTGCAAATGAATGCACATATTACAGAATAGCCATATATTTACCATCCAGACCCTTTAAACACACTTATTCCGTTTTTATAAGATTGTGCCTATTTTTTTTTTTTACAAAACAGGTTTTAATTTAATAGCTATATGACATTTTATAGTTGCCACAGTATAGTTAACATTTACCTAACCAAATTTAAAGTAAAAAAAAAAACACAGAGACAGTCAAAAAATCAGCTCTTCTTTAACTGGAGATGCTCTACTCTAGCTGAGCTCGGAACGTCACATATGGAAGACAGTCCACATGGGCTGGAGGTGCAGGCCTTGGTTACCTTCTTGAGAGCTCCGGATGTGCTCCAGGCCTGCCTCTCATCCGGACCGAGCCTGACACACAGTGCGGTAAGTGCCTGGGTGAACTGCAGGGTGTACAACACCTTCACCATGCATGTGAAGTGTTCTGCAGCGACAAAAGGACAGTAAAAACACCACAGATATATACAAGCATCCCAGAACCCAACCCCATAGATATTACCCATCCATCCACCCATGGTCAGGGTCGCTACAGGGGTCTGAAGCCCACTCCAGGCAGCACAGAGACAAGGCGAGAGTGCACCCTGCCATCTTAATTATTCATAATGAGTACAGTAACCATTTACATGTGATCCCTTTACCACTCCCTCTAAGCCCATGCACTACGTTATTGAATTTGAAGACACACAGTGTGCAACAACGAAATGTGTCCTCTGCATTTAACCCATATGTGACTTTTTGTGACATAGCAGGGGGCAGCTAATTCAGCGCCCGGGGAGCAGTGCTTGGGGGTGGTACCTTGCTCAGGGTACCTCAGTGGTGCCTTGCTGGTCGGGGATTCGAACCTGCAATCTTTCAATTACAAGTGCGCTTCCTTAACCATCAAGCCACCACTGCCCACTGTTATGAACAGACATGTGGGAGTAGGTGTAGAATCCCACCCATGGAGAGACATGGGGGGATTTTAAGCAAGATTTACTCTCTGCTGGCGATCTCAAAGGAGTAAAGAGAGAGTGTTTTATTTACTTTTTGTGTTTTGTATACTTCATGAATGAAATGTAAACCCGGTAATTATGAATTCTGGTTCTTACAACAACGTTATTTATTTTGGAAAATAAATGGGGGGGAACGAAACCCTTGAGTTCATGTTAATAAAAATAATAAAACAAAGAAAACAGACTTACAGGATCCAACACTATAATTTTCAAACCTGCTATAAAACTTTGACAGGCAGCAGTAATTGTACCTTTCTGCTCTATTTATTTTGCGAGTTCATTATATATCTATACAATGCATTGAAGGACAGTTTGAGGTTCCCACCATGGACAGCATGCTAATCCATTGCAAGACCAAGGCAGAACGACCACCTATGGGTCACTAATTCACCTGCATGTTACTGGACTGCAGGAGGAACCTTCATCACCCAGAAGAAAACCACTGACAACAGCGACTCTCCCACAGGGCATCTGAGATGGATCAAGTCTAGTACGTCACACCAAATCCAACCAATAAGAGTAAAAGCCCCCATTAACATGCTGTGGCCTATTTCCACATCTATACCCCATTGCACCAATTTATGACTTACTTATTGTTCTTTATTCATATACATTCTTTGTCTTGCTCTGTTTGGTTTTATTACACTGCTGTTTGTCCTGCTGCCCCCCCCCCCCCCACCTGTCCCCTATCTGGGATCTGTGCAGTAAGAATTTCACTGTGACAATGTAACTTGAAACTTAATTGCCCACAAAGCTTCCCAGATGTCTCTGTGTAATTTCCATCACATAAATATATATATATATATTACTACTAGAAAGAAGATCAAAATTAAATAAAAATAAAAATCTTCACAATAGTGTTTCTTAGTTATAAACTGAAATCTGCCCATTGACTTTCCTCAATGAGCATACTTGTAAAGGAGTAATAAACAGCCATTAGCATCTAGGTGTTACCCATGAGGAGTGTGTCTTGCTTCTGACTGGACAAATGCACAACCATTACTTCCAGTGCCCTCACCTCCCCCAGAGACCGGCACTTGGCACTGCTCTCTGTACCCTCCATCAACACACCGAAGCACGCAGACCCCTCTACTGCCATAAATAATGCTGCACAGCCTGCTTAGCCCCCCCCCCCCAGCCCCCCAAAGCTGTTTTTTCTTGCTCATTCTTAGCACCAGACACTGGGCTCTTCCTGACCTCAATTTTGACACCCCGGCTCTAATAAAGAGTCTTCATTTCGGCCCTGTCTCTTTGTGGCAAGTCAAAATCAATTTTCCGCTCCTCGACGAGCACGGTAACGATGTTTGTTTTGGCTTAATCAATGCGGAATTGAAAAGAGAAACAAAGTCAATTTAAAGAATAATAAGGCATTGAGGCCCTGTCTCTCTGAGCAAATGCTGAAGGACAATCGGAGGTGGAGCTAGTCTAGGTCACCAGGAAGGAGGGCTGTTAAAGTCGTACTGCAGCTTCTGACTGCAGCAGAACCAGCCTTTGGCCTAAAAACCATTAAAGGTAATTTACCTTTGCGCAGAGGCTGGGGCATAGTCAACACGAAGATGATGAGGAGGGACGGGACGTCTCTGAACAGCATTGGCACCTCAGGGCTGTCGCCGTTGCAAGTGCTGCTGAGGGGAAGTGACAATGTTCCATTTTGTAAAATCATTTACATATTTCTTACTAACTTCACAGCTTTCAAGGACAGTGCCTTGCAAATGCTGACATTTCTCCTCTAAATGTTCGATAAGGCCCAGAGCCAAACATCCTTTAGAAAGATTTCTGAAAACACACTCATAAACTCTGGGAAACTAAACACTCAGATGTAATCTAGATGCTTCTGCGGCCTTAAAGTCTGGCTGGGATAAAACTTTGGGTCTTTCTTATAGATAACAAGCTGTACTCCAGATGAATACTTTACATCGGTACTAGAGCACTGATTTATCGGGCCTTCTCTCCAAATACGACTACGAAATGTAACTGCGAAATGTAACTGTGTTTGGAGGGAAAGGTCAGGGAGCTGAACCCCCAGCGCACACTGTGTAGCAAACGCCCCCTGTTTAACCTCTAACAAGAGTTCCCTGCTTTTTCCCCGACAGAACGACTCTCCGCTGAGGGCTGAGCCTCATGTCGAGCGGCACTGCACTTACACAGGCGAGAGGGAGAGAGAGGGAGGTAAGGAGAGAGAGATTGAAGGGGGGCGGCGACAGGTCAATTCATTAACAGCACTAAGTGCTTTGCAAGTGCGGAAGAACACATAAAGATCCAAAGTGGGATGCTCGCAAACACTAAGAACGACAAGATCTTGGTTTAACATACTAATGTTTTTAGAGGAAAAACCATTAGGACTAATTTTTAACAAAGCGTGACTCGATGCAGAGCCCAGAAAGAGACATTTTCTATAGAATCACTGATTGCTGCGGTCAATAGAAATGGAGGCTCTCTGAATATCTCCTGAAAGCATGTTTCAATGCAGCGAGACCAGCGTGGGTGGGACTCTGCCCTCAGCAAGGCGCTGTGCAATTCAGCGGATGCGGCAAATCGCTGGTATCTATGGTGACCACGCTGCGAGTTTCACCCCACTGTCATCACAGCTCCTCAATATGGCTGGGAGTTTCAGGGAAAGGGGGGGGGGGGCACAGGAGATGATGTGCAGGGACAGAAAGGATGACAGTATGGAGTGACAGAAACAGCATGAGGCACAGTGAGGGTGGCAGTGAGGAGGGACAATAACAGCTTGAGAAACAGTGAGGGTGACAGTGAGGAGTGAAAGCGACAGTGTGAGACACTGAGGGTGACAGTGAAGAGTGAAGGTGACAGTGTGAGACACGATGCAGGTGACAATGAGCAGTGAAGGTGACAGCATGAGGCACAGTAAGGGTGACAGTGACAGTGTGAGACCCAGTGAGGAGTGAAAGCAAGAAGGCAGCGCAAGGCTCACACTCACTCTGCATGTCTGCTGCAGGTGATCTGCGTCAACCGGGTCCATGGGTTGTAGGCCGAGTCGATGCTGTACAGACGCATGTGCACAGCCAGGACATGGAAGAGCTGATCTGAACAGCAAGAATGTGGGGGAAAATTAGTCAGACAGACAGACAGACAGACTCACAGAGAAACATTCAGGCGACTCATCTGCAACAAAAGGCAAGGGGTGACTTTTACAGTCAGTATGGTAAAGGAATACCCACAATGCTGTGCTACGCAATCATGTACCAGCTCTGATACTAGCCAGACAGTGAGATGATGGAAGTCTAAAAGAGTCAAAGCCAAAATCATATGCTAGCTGGTCAAAGGTCTCAGTTGGAGGTCACAGCTAGATGTAGATGCTTAGCATTGATAGGTCAGATAGAACAATGCCTTAAACAGTGGATCTCAAACTGTGGACGCTGTATATCGAAAGGGGTCACAAGACTAATGTTTTTTCACGGGATCTCCAGGAAAAAAAAAGTTTGAGAACCACTGGTTTAAGGTCACATCCACACCGCTAGGTTTCCATTAAAAAGAAAAACTATCTCCATTCACACAGATGTTTTCACATTGTTTATGAAAGTATTTTGTCGTCGGAAAATTAGTTTCTTTTGCAGCAGTCACACTGTGTTGCACACTATTCAACTGGCAGTGACAGCGCTACTGAGAGCAGCTCCCCATATCTTCCATGCTGGATTGCAGTTTACCCCTGTGTACAGTGACCAGGTGACCAATCAGACAAGAGTTTATAAGTAGCAGGATCAAAATCGGGGAAGGGGCCACGTGATGAGCAGGGAACAATTAGGGTGCTTTTAAAGTTTCTGTTTTCATAAGGCTGTGTTTTCACTGCAACACTTTTCAGAAGGATACAGCTCAGAGCATTTTCAAAAATCTCTGGATATCTGGTTTTAACTAATGGAACTCAGATTCAATACAAACTACACAAAAACATTCACTGACACTACAGGACTACAGAACGTCCACATCAAGATCAAGATGCTAGCTCATGCCAGAACATTAATCCCAAATTTTTACTGATGAAAGCCAAAGTGAATAAATGGACTTAATTCCAGATGCTGCCTCGATTATTCACCATAGCCCGCCTTTACTGGAGTCAACGACAGAGCTTTTTCATGATCCATAAATAACAAACATCTCAGGCATTAATTTTGCTCTCAACACTCAATGTAGAGAGTGGAAGAAAAACACATTTATTAAAAAACTGCTTAAAAAAACTTGTAGCTAATACTTCACTTCAAAAAGCTAAGGACTGCATCCAAAAGCATCAAAAAAGCAAGAGAAAAACTGAATATGCTCAAAGCTAAAACTGCCATCCATGAACAACAGCACAGCATTCAGATACTCCACCAGAGAGGCTAGGATTGGGTATTACGGTATTATCACAGTACCATGGGGTGGGGGTGCAGCTGTTAAACTTGCTGGCAAATTTTACTGCTGAATAACAGAATGACAGTTTTCCAGGACGTTAGTGGGTGTCTGAATGCTGCTATCAATTTGTGGGAGACTCCTGAAACTTCCAGGACTGCTGGATGTCTATAGTATTTATTTATAGAAAAAAGCAGCAATAATTATAAGAATGAGATTCAATACAGAGCAATCAGGTCATTGTGCATTCAGAGGCGATCAAACGGCCTGCGTAATTTGGACCTGATCGCATACAGTGGGAACAAAAACAGTCAGATGTTGCTGTAACCTAAAGGAAAAGAAAAGTTTAGCATACTGTCAACTGCCAGTGGTCCTTTCTTCAGCTGTGAAGGATACTGGACACTTACATTTTCATCTGCAAAAACGTCCCTTTTACTGTTTTTTACGACGGTTGTCCAACCTTATCCTATTAATGCCAGAATAATCATTAACCTACTTTATTTCCATATGGCCTCAGTGTAACCGTGCTACTATAGCAATTACAGGATACACACATCCAAGCTGGATTCCAGAATTTAAATGCTGAAAATGAACACTTTGATTGAAAAATAAGTCATAAACAATTTTAATCATTTACCGATAACTTTATTTACTATAATTACTGGGTCTAATATGCAGATGGTATAACACTGTGAGGAATGTAGCGGAACATTGAACTGGATAGGAGTAATTGTGGCTCTCTTTTTAGCAAGCCCATAGCAATCAGAATATCTCTCCCGGACTGTGAGCTGTATCCAGAATAAGCACTGGGAAAATGGATGGTTGGGTGGGAAAATCAACACCTCCTTTAGATGTTAACTGTATGTAAGCCTGCAGTCATATTTTAACATTACACATGCGATGAACAGCAAAATTACAACAGCTGTCTGACTGAATGCGCAATATCTACCAGAATTATGGAAAAACTGGAGCAATAGTGCCCTCTACAGGCAAAAGTTTATAAAACACCCCAGAAAAAAAAAATCGAGTGTCTTTGTCCAAATTTCAAGTTGCTGATGTGAAGCGACATGGGCTCTCACATCCTCTGCAGGCTTTGGCCCTGAGCAGGTGACTTACTTTGACAAGATAAACGTGTCAGCACTCACACAGCAGATGCCGGTGTGCAGGGACAAGGCGAACGCCGTCGTCGGTACCCGAGAGAGCTTTCCCTCCATCAGCTCAAATAAACACGCCCCAAACTAGCACGCCTCTCCACCCCCAGCCTTCTCCAGAAAAGACTCCCGTCACCTTGACGCACATCTTGTGGCCTGACGTCACCGGCGCGTTCAAATCCGCCATCATCGCCATCTGCACTACGGCTGTGTACATGAAGGACGCGACACGACATCGATGATTCATCTGCGGACATCCTCCACGATCTCACTATGGATGATTTACTACAGCCACCAAAGCATTTCTCCCCCCCAAACAATTTCTCGAGTATTTGAAGTCACTGGATAGCAGCTTTATTTCTAGTCAAAGCCTCGATGGGTCAGTGTCGAAGGGTGCAGAGTCTCTACGGACCCCATCGTATGGACGCACAGACGTGCACAGCAGGCAGAGATGCCCCCCATGAGCACAGTCTATCTGCCTCTACCAGCACAGCAGCAGCGAGAATGGAGATGCCCTCTGACTGCAGATAACAGCCCTGCTCTCTTCCTATCATTTTCTCTGCTGTTCTATCAATCCGAAATGGAACTGTGATGCCCGGGTGACGACTTCATCCTCCCCCCCTGCGCTCGACCTACAGCTCACTGTAGATACATATACCTGGTTTCCAAGTACGACTCCACACACACCCAGCGGTGCCCCGAAAATAGGTCACATGTGCCTCTACAAATAAGCCTAGAGCCATACATGTAGATTATTCATTATAACCAGGATGTTAGTGCCACAGCTTTCCTGTTTCTACCCCGAGAAGAACATCCCATGCCCATGACAGACTCGACAGACATTCCCCCCTGGGCTGGTTCTTCAATACTGAATGCTTCTTCACCCTTGCCATTGTGGGGGTCGAAAACAAATGAAAGCCCACACGGAGTACCCTGCACCCATAAATGACGCTTGGGGCATCCCTCAGAAAAGAATTTCACCAAGGGCTCAATGACGATGGGTACGGAGTATTTTTTGTGATCCATTTCATCTGAACGAACTCCTTGAACAAAGCTGCTGGGTCTGCTTGAATTCTTCAGGCAAAACAGCCCAAACAACAACAGGCTTGACTGCTCGCGCCCTTGTGCAATAATGCAATAATGTTTGCTCTGGAAGGTAAAACAATGCCAGCACACTCAAGCCTAGAAACAATTTGTCACTGTCTGATGAAAACCACGTTACTTTCTGACGATTTTTTACTTTACTATAGGTGGAGTAGACCTATTCTCATCTGTCTACTGACAGTGTCTAACTGACCAATAAAAATATGTTTTATGAAGTCATCTGTTTAACTAGTATTACCTGCTAGTTAACATTTGCATTCATGATTGTTGTTTGTATGAATGACTTCATTTATGGATTATATCGTAACAACATAATGTTAATAGCAAAACTGCTAGCTAACTAATATTGTCAATTGTGAATATTAAGTGAGATTAGTTTGTATCTTGCTGACATCGACATATTTGCTCACAAACAATCCACATTGTCCATTTAAAATACTTAACATTTACAACTGTTCAATGGTGGCAGTGTAAAGATTCCATAGCTCAGGTTCTGTTGGTCTAAGGGTCTCATTACGTTGCTTTAGATTTATTTTGTAAAGTAGTTTCTGGGAAAATGAGTTTTTTTTCATACTCCAGAAATAATGGATTTTGAAATGGATACATGTTTTTCATTGGGCAGCAACAATATGGACACGGAGGATGTTAGAAAGGTTTAGATATGCTAAGCTTTCAGGGGGGGGGCTGAGTGTTTTTTTTTTTTTTTTTTAAATAGATTTTCTGATTCAAATCAATCTTCCTTTGCATAATCCGATATAGATTCATAAAATTCCAAGATAGATTTTTTTTAAATATCTGCCTTTTACAGTCTATGGCCTTTTCCTGTGGATGTGTGTTGCTTTAACCCCATTAATCTCGTCTGACCAGCCTCGTGCAAAAAGATCTAGTGACAGAAACAGATAAACATGGTGACGGCTGCTCCACTGAAGGTTCAGTCAAACCTACAGATAGATGTCTAGATGTATTTCAGATTTCAGAAACATGAGGACGGTGAAGAGCTGGACAAAAACAACTGCAGAAGATACTGCAGAAATACCACAAATCTCCGGAGCCATTTAACGAGACATTATCCAGGCGTGCAATCTGCAAAAACACCCTGTCCGAATCTAAAAGTCACATTACATAAAAAGTTTTTGTATTAATGTAGCTGCTTTGGGGTCAATTCGTAATGCTCGTTAATACTTTCAATGATGCACCAGGTTGGAGGGGAACTAGTACAAATTTACAACATTCTCTGAGAATCTCTTTCCTATCCAAGCAAAACTGGTATTGTAACAAATATCCCTAATGGAACTGAAAATCAAATCAAACTGGGACTTTGTGAATCGGAAATGAATCCATTCAGAAAATCATACTCTGTGAAGTATATTGTTTGCAGCTGTATTTAAGGACTAAAGCCTCAGGCGTTTTCCTCCGTTATTTGAAGTTTTGTTTACTCCACATTGTCTTTCAATCCCATTTGAATTCTCTTACGCACTTTGCAACAACTTTCTTCCAAACCTGCACCAAATTAAACAAAACCCCAATGCTGACCCCTTTAAAACTTTGCGCACGACTGCTATATTAACTAAAGCATTTAGCCTTTAGTGGTTTTGTCAAAGAGGTTAAAGTCATGAGCACAGGCAGTTCCATCGGTCATCATTTCCATTCCACAGGCCGATGGCTCTCCTTGGCCGCCCATGTGGTTCCTCCTAAGACAGCAGCTCACTTGGGGGGGGGGGGGGGGACATGCCTTCCCTTTCCCTGCCACCTTTAATAGATTTTGAAACTTGTGTCTGCAACAAAGGTTATTAACTGACCCGTCCGCTACGGAGTTCACCATGGTAACCATCCAACTTCAGACTGTCAGATTTAGAATTGTTGGTGGAAACTTCAGATTGCTAACAGTATGCTAGGTTGTACTCTAAATCTCTTAATTCTTACCTTTGTGACAAAAACTTTGGGGAAATGCTTTGTATTGAAGCTAAATATATAAAGGAACAAACTTGGTTATGACCATGTTTTGTGTGTAAATCTCTGACCTGCAATAAACAGAATTCATAGCATTTTAAAGTGACTGCGACCTGAACTTCACCCACAACGGCAGCATCAAAACAACCAAGATGGCGGGAGAGAAGCTGCACTCACTGAGGCAGGAGCGCTTGGCAGCAGCGCTGGCCCCCCCGCAGCACAGGTCCCCGCCACGGTGGACCAGCTCCAGCTCCAGGTTGGTCCTGCGGAGGAGAGAGTCACCAGCATCCGATCAGCTTCACACGGGTGGGATATGAGTAAAATGACGGCGCAGAGATCATGGGCTCAAACGGAGCATTCGGACCCCCAGCTTAACCGTACTGCACGCCTGAGACGATACCGGCGCCATCAGACAGGATTTCCTTCCAGCTGTGACACTTTACGGAGTGCCATGCTACATTTTTTCTTCCTTTTTACAACATTCAAATTACCCACCCCCTTTTGTGTTTGAATTTACCAACCCTTACACTAGCATTTCATTTTAAAAAAATCTCCTTGCTTTCTCCAAGCAATTAGATACAGAGAAAAGAATAAAAATCACATATGAAAAAAACACCATTGTGTGACCACCTGACCTAGATTGACCAATGGTGTACTTACAAGATTTCTGGACACCTCCAATATCAACATCTCAGGTAACAAACCAGTCTGCTCATTTAAGAACAAAACCCTGACAGCTTTTAAATAATGACATGATATAAAAAGGTGATATTTATACATTGCATATGTTGCTAAAATAAGAGCAAATTGAGTGGGGTGTTATTATGCCGGAGTCATGGGCTTATTCTGTAGGGCTGAAGAGGCGGAGGCTAATCCTCTCTTTCTGGGAGGAAAAAAAGCAATTTCACATTGATAATGTGGCGGCACAGAGCTCCATCTGCCTGCCGCTGATAAGAACCCTGGTGCGACAGAGGAATTTTCCACTCCTCAGGCAATCCGTGCCGCTTTCTGCGTTTAGGAAAGCTGGCAGGTTACGGGGAAGAGGATGTGCTGGGTTGGCGCAGGCGGAGGGAACACGAGCAGGCGGCCCATATAGAAAAAAAAGCACCTGATTTGCACCTCTCCTTAAATTGGTGCTAATAAGATGACTAAAGCATCTTAAAAATCGGTGCCTCACTCAGAGTGTTTTCTGAACATATGAATGTTTCAGACAGAGACGGCAAGAAATACAGGGAATAACCATGACTAGAGCCAATGGGAGACTGACGGATGCCTTCAGGTCTGGTGTATTAACCGGTCTGGTGAACAGGTCATGCAGGAACGAGTCGGCAAACATAACCTGGGTTCCTAGTATGACCCTGCAGGAAGCCCTTTGAGGAGGTTACCAAACTTGCCAAAAAAAAATAATCACTAATCAATCCAGCCAATGAAATTCTCAGATTTCTGAGATTACTGAGCACACTAGGTAATACACCATTAAATTCAATTATGTTGAGACCTGATGTTGCACGGGGACAAAGCTGTGATAAGGATGGGGTAGTCCGGGGTCAATTCCCGGGGGTGGGGTTTCAGAAAGGCCACCTGCCCTTGTTATGTTTTTACTCATATTTGAAGATACCTGGCAGCCACATCTAGAGGACCTCGGCATATGTAAGTTTCTTAACTAACATTTCATTAAAATGTACAAGACATTTCAATATGAACATTATCCCGCCTATGAAATTCATGCGGGTACCACAGAGACAGAGGCTCAGCAGGCTGCAATGCGGCCTCCCACCTCCAGGGCTCACAGTATGAATCCTGTTGCCGACTGTTTTGTTGACTTTGCAAGTTCTTCCTGCATTTGCACAGGTTTTCATCTGGAGCTCCAACTTCGTCCCAAAGTGCAAAAACATGCAGCTAGATGAAGAGGAATCTCTAAATTTCCCATGATGTGTAACTGTGTGTGTTTTAAGCGAGTGACCTGCCACAATTTGGCATCCTGTCCAAACTGGTCCCAGCCTCAAGTCCACTACTCCCTAGAATAAAGTTTAGCCTCATTTATTATGATGGGTGGATGGATGGATGGATGAATGGAGTACATCTCACTTCTGTGCAAAACCAGGGGACGAGCTGCACTGATCTCACCTAGCTACGGAGTACATGAAGAGGAAGTCGTTGTCAGGTGACCCAGGGGTCTTTCCATAGTCCATGTACTTCTTCTGGGTCGTATTCTTGATGTCTTTTATCACAGACTCCATTTCTTTAGTCAGATTGGATTCGGTCTGAAAGAAAAACGTTAGTGGATAGAGGGATTCAGATTCTCATCCTCGGGGGAGCCGAGATGAGACCCGACAGAGGCTTCGGTTTAATGGTGCGTGGACGGCGCGGCACTGAGGAGAGTCGTCATCACCACGGAGGCCAAGGCGACCAGGCATGCGTCATTATTTCAGCACAACTAGAGGCTTGAGATCCATTTCACTTCAGCCCAAAAAAAGGTTGACCCTACAATTGTAGACAGGATGATCCTCAGAGAAGAATGAGCAGCTTGAGGAGGCATGCTAGGGAGTGGGAAGGGGAGGTGTATGTGAGGATGGGGGAGGTGGATGCAGATCTCCGCCTTACAGCTGCGCTTACTGGAAAAGCGCCCAGCTGGTCCTGCAGCTCCTCCACCTCCTTGACAAGCACGGTTAGGCCCTTGTTGGTATGACCGTGCCACACGCCCCTCTCCGTGGCCTGGCCTGGCTGGCAGGGCAGCACGCTGTTGGCAAACTGCCGGCACAGGGGGCAGGTGAACTCGCCCTTCTCCACCGAAGAGCCTTGGAGCACCTGATCATTCTGAGAACAGGCACCACAAGTCAGACGCATGCATCGCCAGGAGAACAAGAGAGAAGCCTTCTAATAGCAAAAACGGCGAGTTACGTCCAACTGCTATGAAACCTTTCATTCGCTTTGCCCACTTAGTTCAGCCTGACCTCTAAAGAACAGAAAAAAATACAGGCTGCGCTTTTGATCCTATTAACAGGCTTAATCACTCTTGACAAGCCCTAAATGTTAATTAAAACAAATTAGAACCCCTTGAAGTACCATTTATCAATTACAAAGTATTATCATTTACTGTTAATTTTCACCTTTGTTTCTCTTTCTCATAGATACTCTGAAGACAAAGGGAATAACTAGCTTATCTTCACAAATTTGGACCTAATACACTAAAACTATATTTTTTGCTCGCAATTAAACCATACATATCTGTTAATATGATTCATAATAAAAAGAGTATTCAGTTGGCTCCATTGAGTTACTGCCCACATTCTGTGTATGCCACCACCCTATACACAGATTTTACACTTCAGCACACTGGCTTTAATTCTTCAAATTAAAATGGCCAGCAAGAGAAGGCCTGGGTTGTTCGGAGGAGTTTATTACATAAGTAAATAAAATAAGACAAGAAAGACGATTTGACATAGTTCCTCTCACAGATTTGCTTCTGAAATATACCTATATATACACAATTGAACTTGTATGGAGGAAGCAGGAATACAAATGAAACAAACGCTTATACATACACATTAATATAAAAGCACAGTGTAATTAAGGAGCTTAATGAAGAGCTGGAAAGTACAGATGCTCCTCTACTTACAAACGAGATACGTTCCGAACGGCCGTTCGTAACTTGAAATGTTCGTAAGTCGTTATTCAACATCATTTTAAGGGTACTCAAATCTACATGCATGAGTAAGTATGGGTCATGTGTGCCATGACCCCCTCGCTACCTTGTGTGGAATCCCTGTGTCATCAGCTGCTTCTAGTTGTGTTAATTAGTCTATTTACAGTAAATCCGTGTTAGAGTATGTTTCCCCAAGTCTGGTCATTCTGTCATGCATTCGGCATAGAGAAGCAGCACAGGAGCCAGCAAAATCAGGTGAACACAGGGTTTATATCGCGGAAACACCCAGGAACATGAAAACGACGTCAACACGTTAATGACCAGACTGGGGAAACATACTCTAACGTGGACTTAAATACACAGCAACAATCAACATGGATTGAAACACCTGGTAACACAAGGATTCCACATGAGGTAAATGAAGGGGCTTGGCACACGGGAAGCTCGGACAAGTATGATATAAAGTCAATATATGTTTTCTTATCCTAAAACACATTACTAATGATACATAAAACATAATGGATGCACAGAATATTTCACAATAAAAATGAAGTAAACTTTGATCTCGAGAGCACATCTTACTGATACGCAAGTACAAAGAACTGGGATGCTGGGAGTAAACGGCCAGAATTCGTACTAGGTGACTTGGCAGACTTTGATGTTGCGGACAGGAAACGGGAGCCTGACAAATGCAATTTGGACTTACAGTCCTCTTCGTTCGTATGTCTGAAAGTTCATAAGTTGAAGGTTTGTAAGTAGAGGAGCGTCTGTACTCAGTTTCAATAGAGGAAAACTGCAGAATAGGAGGACATGAGGTCAGTAATGAGTAAAGGGATGCAGGTTACCCTCAGAGACTCCATGTAGGACTTGTGGCAGTCGATGTGCAGTGTGTGGCCGCATGTCTGCACATACACACCTCCATCCCAGCCGATAGAGACCGACTGCAGGCAGGAGCTCTGGAGAAGGACACATTCTTGGTTAGGGTTAGCACAGCCAAGATCAGCAGTGACAGTACGGCAGATCTCAGGCACACACTTCTGAAACATGAATATTCAAAGTGATTGGAAAAGGTAACACGATGTTCAGGAGTGTGACAATGCGCACGCCCCGACGGGGTAATAATCAGACGCTTACGTCTTTAAAGAAGCGCTGCAGGAGGGTGAGCCGAACGTCATGGACGGCGCCGCAGGTGTCCGCCGGGTAGATGTGCTCCTCGTCGCTGGTGGGCAGTTTCTTCGGCTCAGTGTTCCGGCACCGGTGGCCCAGCACTGGAACGCGCAGTGACCGCAAACACATCTCAGGGGAAGGGAAACTAAACGCGAAGCAGCGAGCGGTCTTCCAAGCACAACGTGGACGATCCCTTCCCCTCCCTATGCCAGGACAGCGACTGATCATCGATAAAATGGAAGCATGAGGACCTGCAAATCAGCCCCTATCTTTGTAATCCAATCAGTCTGTGCTACTGAAGATGGAAAAACTGCTCTCTTAAAATGACCCTTCATTTATCACAGGAAAGGTCACTGACAATGAGCAGACAGTTAAAGCTCCTCAACTGGATTTACAATCAATCTCATTTTAAAAACAGCCCAAGAAACTGAAATTTTTATAGCTTCAATAGCTGAATTGTTTTTCTTTCCATCTTAAAGCTTATGAAACTTTACTAGTACTGTAAAGACCTAATCATTGCGTTCATTTCATATTGTTAAACTGAATATAAACAGATAATATAAACAGACTTTTCATATTCTGGCATGCAGACTTTCAAACATGGGGGAGAAAATAATTTTACAAAAAAATCAATTAAAACCACCAACCTTTCTGTTAACATGTTTTTTGTGTAATGTGGAGGGCTTTGAGTAATGTAAGAGGAAATGTGATTTAGGACAATTAAGAGGTAGGGATATATTTATCTGGTTCTGTATGTGTTGTGCAAGCATGCACAGGACAACGCCCTACCAGAGGTGGCCTGGAGCAGGACCACCAGGCCGGTGGGCCGGTCGTCGGTAGAGGGTCCGCTCTGACCACAGATGACACAGTCGTACAGGACCTCAGATTCTGGCTGCTCCAGGGCATCCAGGTCCATGGCCACGTCACCATCAGGAGACTCTGGAAAGAAACACACTGCAGCATTACACTTATTTATTTAAGACACTTTTGTCTAAAGTGATGTATGAGTGAGGATCAGAGATCAATGTCCTAAAATCCTGAAGCAAATAGGGTTAAGAACTGTGCTCAGGGGCTCGACAGTGAAATTACTCGGGCCAGCCGGTGGAATTTCAACCAGCAATGTTCCAGATATGGGAAGAGATCTGTAACCCAGAGTTACATGCGGCCCGCAACCAGTCAGGGTTCGGCCAGAAAGTACCAGCGCTCAACGCAATTTACCCGCAAATTAAACAGGCAATATTAAAACCAAATTCAAAGCTGACGCAAGCTTTAAACCATGAAGCTTTTCAGCCATTTCAGGTAAACGTGTCTGAGGCAATGAATTGTGGCAAACTATGAGTTAATCTGAAGGAAGAAAAGCTACAATTCCACCCACAAACTCTTTAGAGACAAAGTATCTGTGCTCCTCTGACAGTTTATTACCGCTGACAACAGCTCTACCATCCCCTTAAAAAAAAAGATATTACACAAGACTCAGCAGTCGTCAGGGTTGTGCTGAGAGCTGCACTTAGTCCATCCTAAGATCAGCAGCACCCCAGAATCCCAAAAATGTGGAATTGAACATGAAGGAAAAATAATGATGTGTGTCTCTTTGGAATTTCTTCCCAGCAACCTCCATGAATATGTTTAATTTTACTAATCCTCAAAGTCTGACTTGGCGCAGCCAAGGGGTGGAGGGGCTGCGGTTTAGTGATCACAGGATCGTGTCATTGCTTTGTGCAGATCATGTGGTTCTGTTGACCTCATTGGGCTGTGACCTGCAGCATGCACTGGGGTGCTCTGCAGCTCAGTGTGAAGTAACAGGACCTCCAAATCTGAGATCAAGGTTCTCAACCAGAAAAGGGTGGATTACTTCGTACAGGTTGGGAATGAGGTACTGCCTCAAGTATCTCGGGGTCTTGTCCACGAATGAGGGATAGAAGGGAGCGCAAGATAGCAACACAGATTGGTGCAACACTAGTAGTTATGCGGGTGTTGTATTGGTCTGTCGCGGTGAAGAGAGAGCTGAACTGGAAGGGGAAGCTATTGATTTACTAGATGATCTATGTTCCTACCCCTCAGCTATGGTCAAAAGCTTTGGGTAATGAGCGAAAGAATGAGATCGCAGAAACAAGCAGCTGAAAGAAGTTGCCTTCACAGAGTGCCTGGGCTCAAAGTTGAGCATCGAAAGGAACCAGTTGAGGTGCTCCGGGCATCTATCTAGGATGCCTCCTGGACACCTCCTGGGGAGGTGCTTCAGGAATATTCTACCCGGGGGACACCCTGGGGCAGACACAGGACACGCTGAAAAGATGATATCTTGCAGCTGGCCTGGGGGTGCCTTGGTATTCCCCATAGGAGCTGGAGAAGGTGGCTGGGGAGAGGGAGGTTTGGGCATCCCTACTCAAATTGCTGCCCCCATGGCCCGGATCCGGACCCAGACAACAATGGATGGATGGATAGATAATCCTCACAGAACCATCATACAAAAGCAGAAGATGAAAACCTGGACCCATCTGAAGCCCGACTTAAATACTCCATTACATCATGTTTCTCTAATTGCAACTGTCTCAAATTAATAATCACAAAGCAACCCCCCCCTTGATTCTGATCAGGAGAAAATGCTGGAAGATGGATTGAAATCTGACAGATAAAACTCTGAAAGACAACAGCCCGCAATGTGGGGGGCAGGGGAAAGGGAACACAAGGTGTAACAGAACGATCATGACCCATGAGTCACCACTAGCTAATAACTGGGTGGTACAGTATGTGGCTGAGGGGGTTCGGCCTAGAGCCTGTGATGGGAAGCTTGCCAGTTAAAGCTTCTGCAGAACAGTCACATCTCTGTTGGGCCCTTGAGCAAGTCCTTTAACCCCCCTGCAATGCTTCAGGGGGGGTCGGATATATAACTGAGCCTCAGCCCGAGACCCCAAGCTTCATTCTCAAATGCATATGTGTGTGTATGTCTCAAAGGAGAGCAAATGAGACATGCAAAAAAGAACCATTCCAACATACCTGGCCACAAAAAAGTATAATTTTAAAAACAATAACTGGCAGGCATTGTCAAAACTGGGAAAACAAGCACTTGGCTCTCTCTCTCTCTCTCTCTCTCACACACACAGTCACTATGGTAACCATAATGGTTAGTAAGGGCCTACAAAACGCAAAGTATTCTGACTCCCCTTTCAATGAAGGCATTTATCCACTCCATTAATGCTTAATATACAGATATCCAGGCTTAACAAAAAAAGAAAAGAAAAGAAAAGCGCTGCCAACCTTCCTCACTCACAAAAGGACTAATAAAACCCCTCATAGATGAGAGAATATCAGAATACGTCACAAAATAGGTATAATCTTATGAAAATTTGGAGGCTTTTCAAAGTCGCAGAAAGAGCGAGAGACTCAGCCAGGCAGGGAAACTGCGGTAGAGATAACAGCAGACATTTAATTAAAACGAAGAACGGGCAAAAATAATTAGCCTAAATGTGTTTTTTTATACGTTTCTTGGGGACATGGAATAGATTCAGAGATCATGTGGCTTTCACACCTGCCAGGAAACACGGACCCGGAGGCTTTTGGAGACCTTTTAGTCACAAACACATCATCATCTCAAACACTGATTTATTTTTGCGGCTTTTAAGAAAACCGCATATTCTATTAAGTGCAGGAGTATCCCATCTATTCAAATAGTATTCCCAAAGAAATGCTCTTAAAAACAGACTAGGTTTTCAGATGCACTCGGCATAAGCACACATAAAAAGCAGAGACATTCTTGAAAATGCCAGTGACCATAATCAAGGTATTTGTGTACGTTGCCAGGGTAACCGGCCCCAACAGCGGACTCTGAGAGCCCTAAAGATCATCTGCTTTGGCAAAACGATTCTTATGATATTAAAATCTGCATTTAATTTAAAGCACAGCCATGAAGGAGAAGAACGCCAACCTGCCCGGGAACTGACTCCCAGGCCGTACTCCCCAGAGAGGGGGGGGGGGGCAGCAAATGAAAACAGTTTGAGGAAAACAGCATATGGGACAGACAATGTAGCAGTTCTGGCCCCAGGCAGCAGGAGAAAAACACACTACATCATCACATACACCCCCTACCCAATATACCAAACAGCTGGTGAGGCACAGAAACAAGCAGAAGAGCCCATGAAAATGGGGTGTGGGGGGGGCACACACACACAGACACACCTTTTTATAGATCAAGACTTTATTAATGATAGCAGCACAATCTATTCATATGTGGGTGGAGGGTGTTATTTGGGGGAATAGGCTGTCTTTGGCACATGGTGGCTTGGGACATGGGAACAAACTCAGAAATTAACTCCATTTTATTAACTAGGGCTGTACCAGTACACAGATTTGTCGTGTACTGTTCCGTACATCATTTTCTGTTGGGTATGCACAATGAAACACAGGCAGAGCATAAATTCACAAGTAGATGTTCAACATTAAAGTACTACACTAATTGTCACTGTGAGCTGGTTACAGCTAATGCTGATTGCAGTCAGTCATAATTGGCAGTTTGGGTGCATCTTGTGTTCCCAATAAGTTACACCAAGACTGGAGAGAGAGTAGCTGTTGGCTCTGTTATACCAACTTCAGATAAAACATATCCAACATAGTAACTGGTTTAAGATGACATCCGAAGGTGTGTACGACTGGAGCAAGGTGGAAATTGCCTCTGTAGTCTCCCCATGGGATTTCAAGGTCTTTTGCCGGGAAATTTAGACCTGGCTAAAAAAATAATTACCGCTATAGGGGTGTTTATCACAACAGATATCGTCTTCAGTGGAGTACACAGGATTTTGTCTTGGATTTAGTTCATTATGATTATTACAATGTTCTATTTTTCATTTTTGAAAAATGTATTTTTACTAAGGATGGACCAGTCAATCGGCTACTGACCAGACATGGCTGTTTTTCACCCCAATCATCCATCCATCCATGTGCCGCTTATCTGGGACCAGGTCCCAGGGTCAGCAGTCTAAGCAGGGATGCCAAGACCTTGTTCTCACCAGTCACCTCTTCTCGCTCCTCTGGGGGATACCAAGGCATTCCTAGGTCAGCCGAGAGGTATAATCTCTACAGCGTGTCCTGAGTCCAGACACCCTGCAAAGGAAACTCATTCCTGCTGCTCGTATCCGCGATTTCATTCTTTAGGTCACTACCCAAAGCTCATGACCATAGGTGAGGGCAGGGACGTAGATCGACTGGTAAATCGATTGCTTCACCTTCAAGCTTAGCTCTCTCCTTGCAACGACAGATCGCTACAACACCTGCACAACTACTGACACTGCAGTACTCTGTCCTAACTCCATGACTCTTCTTCTCTCACTCGTGAACAAGACCCCTGACATACTCAAACTCCTCCACTTGTGGCAGCAACTCATACCCCACCAGGAGAGGACAATCCACCCTTTTCCGGAAGAGAACCACAGCCTCAGACTAGGAGGTGCTGATCCTCATCCCGGTCACCTCACACTCAGCTTCAAATTGCCCTAGTGCATGCTGCAGGTCACAGCCCGATGACGCCAACATGACCATATCAGTCTATATATGACCAGTTTTATGAGCCAATCAAGTAGTGTGCTAATGTTACATTGTGTCCCAACTAATGGTGGGCGAAACGGCAATATCTTATCATACCTGGTTGCAATTGTATCTACAATACAGATGTAAGAGGTATCTAAAGAATCGCACTACATCACTACATTTACTTTTATTCAGCAGTGATTTTTATCCAAAGCAACATACGAGTAAGGAAAATGGCACATTACAAACATACGCTGTTGTGCAGTCGACTAGGCATAAGTGTAGTTAAGCTGAGCTTACTAGCGCACTACTTAACACTATTTTTACAAGACACAAGAAACCGGAAAGAGCCTATCATGTGACACCTGTGTGAACGACCAACTGAATTTGACACTTGCAGAGCCATTTCTATTTGAAAAGATATTAAATTTTTCGCTTACAGAAAGCTAAACTCATTAAACAAACATTTTTTTAAATAGTTTAATAATAATTGGCAGTCTCAACATCTAAGATAATCATAATAAGCCAGGACTGGGATCGGCAGGTCAGGCTTACAAAGAAAAAAAAAAAAAGGCAACCAGGATCGGCCAATGAAAATGGCCGATCGGCCAATGAAAATGAAACTGTCGCATCAATGATTTTTAGAGTGTGCAAATAAGTGTCTCTTCGGTTTTGTTTTTCAAATACGTCAAACGCATTAGCCTTTGGCTTACAACTTTTTCTAATTAGGGCTGAGTTTACAAATTCTGAGTTGTGCACCTTTACACGCCTATTATTACCCTCCACACGCTAATGAAGTAGCATTTGCCAAACTCCCACCAAAGACACCCAGCAGCAGGGGAAGGGGGGAACGGCAAGAGTCTTCTACATCGACAAGGTTGAGCTGGATGTTGTTATACATTTTGAGTCTCCTACTCCATCTATTAGCAACCGTACTAAAAACTCCATGAACATCCCATCAGCAAAAGGCCAGGCATATTCGGTGCCCGAAGGCATCCATCTCATTTGCTGGTGCTGTTAACCCAGCAAGGGAGTAAAACTTTCACCTTTACCTTCCAGCAGTAGTCTAGAACCAGTGTCTGAGCGGTCACTGACCAATTACAATTCAAAAATGGTAGTTTTAGTAAAAATATAAACATGGATTTTTCAGAAGGCTATGCACGAAGCCTTTTTTGGGTCACCCAGGCAATCTCTGGCAAATAAAACCCTTTTACCAGCAATTTTCTCTCTTCTTTCCGTTTGTAGTGCTTCACAGCAAGTGAATAAGAGACTGCACTGCACACAGCATTTAAACAGTGATAACTGCAGTACATATTCCACAAGGAGACTCACTATATCACAAACACGCGACAACCCCTCTAACCCTATTTCACCTTGCCAGATTCCCCATTTAGCGCATTTCCAGTTCATCACTCATAATACATTTCTGACACACTGACCTAGTGAACAGAGCAGCAGCTCATCAGTGGGTAGCAAGGTGGGTTTGATTCCAAACCCGTATATGTGCATGTGGCTGTTGCTTCGATTTCCAGCCTGTGCTTGTTGGTTCCTCCAGATATTCCAGTTTCCTCCCACAGTTCAAAAAACATGCAGGTTTAGGTAAATCTGTACCTCAAAAATGCCCTACATTTTATTAATACTCAGTAAGATCTGAGGTGTGTGAAAAATAGTTAACTTTCTCTTAGAGAGCAAAAATAAGTTTTACAATACACAAGCTGGAAAAAAAAATTCAATTTGGACAGACAAACAAATACAGCAGAGAAATAAGAATTTTGAGAGAGATTTGGACATCAAATCACTTCCCGTGATGAAGTAGCTAAAAATGTTTTAATATATTTGTATATGAAGATTCTACTAGTAAGACCTCAACCAGAACACAGCACACAATTTTGCATAATTATGGTTGAAGAGCCACAGCTACAAAAATGTTTCCTATAATATTTCACAAGAAGCCAAAATTACTGAGTAGTCTATTGAGTGCTAAGTATATATGAAATTTATGTATGAAAAGTACAAGAAGGTCAGAGATGCTTATGGGCGGCCCTGCCTGGTAATGGTTTGCATCCCGCTCCCCATAATAATATAAGCATTCAAATTACCAAATAAAAAATGTTAAGGTTAGAATCGATTCTCAAAATGAAACATTGAATAATCGAAAGAACCAGTATTTCAGTATTGATCCTATCCACACATCCTTAGATGTCGTACCGCTGCAGCCTCCGAACAGGCAGGCATCGTGCGAATGGAGATTCACGGATCGTTGTTGTCATCATAACGGTGTTAAGTAGTGCTGCATCACGATTCTTGTGATAACACTGAAATGCATATTGCGCATACAATTTCACCCGGTCCTGATAAATCATCATCATGTCCCCCATTACTAATTATGAAGATTCATTTTTCACCTCTGTAATACCAAGCATGTCCGAGTGTCAGAAAGCACCTTGTGATGAAACCAGCTGAAGGGCAACAGCAAACAACCTCCTTTAAGAACAAACCCGTTATTCTTAGCTGCTGCTCAGAGGTCCCAAAGAAAGTCAAGTTTTCTAACCGCAGACATTTTTCACCCATCAAGCACCGCGTGTCAGGGTTACTCCCCACAGCCCCCATTAACACATGCTTGATCCAGCCCGGCCCGGCCCAGAAGAGGAGGTCCGCTAGGGGCACTTCAGTCTAATTCCTTCTTCTAACAGGACTGGGACACAGCATCGTGCGTCACCTTGCATCACAAAACATTTTAAAGTGTGGCACTCCCCTCCCCTTTAGAGATCTTCCCTGCAGATTTCCCCCTTCAAGGACTCCAGTTCACCGCATCCTTTTTCGTGAGAGTCACAGATTACAGACACACATACCCACACTGCTTCCCCCCCCTCCAAACCCTCCCCCACAGAGCATTCGTCTTACGCGCGGGGGGGGGGGGACGAAAGACCATCAGGAGCTACTTAAACATCCTCGTTTGCCCTACGTTGCATCAGTCGCTAAACACGGCCATGAAAAACGAGCCGCCTGGACGAGAGGGCATGGTGACGCATTCACCGCGTGCGTCTAATGATTAGCCATTACGGATGCTAATCTGCACCATTTGAATCCTGCCGACCCAGACGTCAGCAAAATAGATAGGGAGCAGACGCTCGTTCACCCGGCAGTGCCTTCGTCGTAAGAGTCATATTTACAGCCTATCTGCAACTTCCAGGCACCCACAAAGTCCCTCCTGGTCCTTAACTACAGTGGCACTTACTGTCCCCTTATAAAACCTGCACTGAAATCTACACGTGTAATTGCTGTATTAGTTTTAAATGGGGGATTTTTGATTGAAAATAAAACCGTGAGGTAACATCGACATAAAATGATTCTCTCCCACTCACCCACATCCATCGCCGTTTCCATAAAACTCTTCTGTCTGGATGCAAATTCCGCCAGCAACTTCTGCTGCCTTTCCCTGGCCTTCTGTCGCCTGGAAAAACAAAGCAACCAAAATACAGACACCACAGAGACAAACAGGGCTCTTTCATCCTCATGAATCAGTGACAGATGAGGGACAAATTCAAAGTCACAGCCTCTGAAAGTGAAATTCTTATACAGTTAATGTATTTACAAAAACATTAGAAACAGAGATGAATTGGGGAAGGGAAATTACTCATTGTTCATGGACACAAGACTGAATAAATGTATATATAAATGAATTAATGTGTCTCAGAAGGAAAAGAGTATCTATGTGAAGTGGGGGGGGGGGACTCAGTGTCTTCAGTGACAACTGGCTGTAGAGCTTTGAAATTCATTTCAAACTAGAATGTGTTCCCCGGACAGGCCCTTCACCGCTCCCCCACCTAATTTCAGGAAAATAACTGAATTGGTCTGGACTGGGGGGCCCAATATTATATGCTTTCATGGGGCCCAAACCCTTTAGCAACACCCCTACAGACACATACAGGCCACACTGCTATTTCAAAGAAATATTACTGCCAGCAATTATCCTAGATTATTACTGACTGTACACACACCAGCTGTAGATGGCTGGTAAAAACCTGCCACACAGGCAGAGCAGGGCGCATATAAAATCTGCATATTGTACCAGATCCCAAACCAAATGAGCTTATATTTAATACGACATTAGACTCTAAGATAAGCATGCATACAAATGGCATGCATACCGTCCAAAGAAGGGGGTCCAGCCATAATAAGTTACACAGAATGAAAATACCGTGCATTATGAGAATAAGCCGACCCTGCACACTCACCCTTATTAAAAGTCCACCTTAAACACCCCACAATATATTTCACCAACCTGCTACCAGACTGCAGCCTTAACAATATGCCCAGTGTGGTGGTGGGGGGGTGTTGTGGGGGACATTATATACGCTCTGCTGCCCCCTCCGGCTACCGTTTCAATTTTGGGGCAATTTTTTCCAGTTTCTCAGGTGCAGATTTTTATCCACATAATGCCACATAAAGTGGCAATAAGATCCATCAAAGATCAAGCAGAGTAAATAGAGTAACAATATTAGAGTTTAAACAGAGTAATAATACTAGTGTTTTCCTGTTCACAAGGTTATCCAAGTCACCCATCCCTGTCACCATATGCCTCTGCTCCAATTTTGGTGCAATTTGACTCAAAATATGACCAAGTCCAGATCTTCACCCTCACAACATATCCAAAGGCTGAAAACGATTGGTCACATACATTGCGAAATTGCATTATTGACTCACATACCGAAGTGGCTGCGGTGGCAGCGGGCCAGTGCTAATCCATACTGTATGTACTGCCCGAAGGCCGGCCAATAGAATTAACACCATAAGCTCAGTTACAACCAGCACTACGTACAGTCTGAGGTCCAGGTCTCCTTGGGGTTTCAGTTTACAGCACAGCTGATATGACAGTCAGCCTGTTTCCATTATGAGGTTTTTCTGCAGCCTAGAGACTGGCCCACCTCACAACTCCACAACAGTCGAGTCAGAGAACCTGCACTGGAGATTGAACACCTCACACCTGCACTGGAGACTGAACACCTCACACCAACCGCATGGGGCTGTCTAACAAGTGTCCTTATAGCTATTGAGTATCACTATTCTGCAACCATCCCTGTCAGTCACCCACTGCGATGCTAAATAGCTTTTTACCCTCCTGTTTGTGTACAGCGCTCAGGGCTGATTTCTGGAAAGCTTACTCAAATTTACCTGGTCCATCCATCTCACCACTTACAGTATCTAGTATAGGACACATGGCTGAGGAACACCCACATACCAAAGGGGGGGGACATAACTTTCGTCTTTTGGTCAGATCAACCCCAGAAACGGCTCGTCGCCGACTGCTTATGAGGTTTGCTACATCTTCATTAGCAAGCAGCCTGCACATTGAAGGTGGGGCACTGAGCTGGAGCAGGAATGATCTGCATGCCTGACTGAATTCATCTTCATCTCAAACCCTGTCAGAGCTCACAAAATGCATCCACTGACCATGAAATATTTCAGCTCCTACATAAGACTGCTACCTGAATAGTAGCAATTAGCCTGGCTGACTTAGAAACATGGAAAGATCAATTCTGAGATAAGGAGAGGACAATGCACTTAAATCCATCAGGTTACCGTAGTAATTACTCAAGTCGTGAGTCAGAAAGAAATCGGGAGATTTGCGACACTCAAGTATTGTACAGGCTGACACGCCCCCAAAAGGCACAATCTCACACACACTGGGAAACGCCCACTCGCCTCTCCTCCTTGTCCATGGTCTTCTTATCCGAGGGGCTGTGCTTCCTGGGGGGCACAGGAGGGGCGTTCCTGGCACACAGCTCCAGGATGCTCCGCCTGCTGTGCCGGCTGTGGGCCGCTGCCTTGGCCAGGATGCGCTCGATGGCGGTGACGCCATCGCCGTGGGTGCGCCGGGTGGCGCTGGCCGGCGGCTCATCCAGCCGCTCGGGACTGAATGGGTCCTGGAGGGCAGACAGCTTGCGGTGCAGCTTAAGGAGCAGGGACAGCATGCTCTCGCGCACCTCCAGGATCTCGGTGACCAGCGGAGGCGTCGGGGCCCAGCGGCCGGAGCTGGCCTTGGGCCTGACCGCCTGGTCCGCCTCCCTGCTGCTGCGGTTGATAATCTCCTGGAACTTCCTCCTGCGCTCTGCCACCAGGCTGAACACCTGCGCCTCCCGCAGGTTCTTTAAGGACAAAGGCGGCACGGCATTAGTGAGTCGTACACAATCCAAACTGGTGCCTCTGCATTTATTTTCTGCTTCTGTCTGCAAGATCAAACAAAAACGTTGTATAAAACCAGCCATGACGAGAAGCGACCCTGCAAATTTAGTTTAATCATGCTGTCATTTCCTGTACTTCACTATCGTGGGTAAAGATACCGAGGGACTCAAAAATAATACTTTTCATTTGGTGGTTTGCTGCGAGGACCAAAGAATTCCGGATTCCTTCCTAATAAGGTTCTAAAGTTCTACCTCTGCTAATGCAGAAGATGCGGTTGCTTTGTTAGATGGAAAATTGTCTCATATTTACATTCTTAGAATAGCACAAGTGACCCTACTGAACATGGGATAAGACAATGAGGTGGCTCGCTTTCTCAAAGAGCTCACCTGTACACTGCAGTAAAATGTACAAAAAAGTACCAATGTGAGCCCTCTGCACTAAAATACTGAATAGTCTGTAGTACTATATTAATCTGGTATTCAAGGCAAGAGTGTTAAATTCACCAAATATCACACGCTACAACCCGACTCAACCAACATTAAACTCGCATGCAGTTCAGGAATGAGTTTATGAATTAGTCTCCAAACCAGCCATATAAACGGTGGCACTGCCTTTCCAGCATGCTTCCTGAGCCGCCTTATAATCGATGATACTTCTCAAAAGACAGAATGCGACCCTGCCATGCTAACAAGGCATTGGACTAACATTTATTAAATAAGGTAGCCATTAGAAGCTCACACACAAGCCTCTACCTCACGCCAATTTCCAGTCAGGCGCCGGGAAGTCTGAGAAGCAGGAAGAGTGGAAATCAAAGAGGCCTTAATGGCTCAGTCACCAGCCAAAAAAGGCTATAATACATTTGCATGGGGAATCATGGTTGCTTAAATATAAACTGTAACACCCAATAAATGGGTAGTGTATTTGCTACAAGGCTTTGCTAAAATTGTAACACTTTCCACTGCTAACACCACGTTGAGAAGACAGCAAGCATCCACCAAACCTTACGGAGCATATAAGCACATTTTAAGTGGGAGATAGCATTCCTCCACACCTTGTAGTAATGACATATCATAAAAACAGGTTCTTAAGAGAGAACGTATAAAAATATGGTTATAAGTAGACAGCATAGAGTGAAATAATGACCTCAGAGCTGGTAATGACATAGCATATGAACGGGTTCTTATCAGGGACAGAATGTTACAGCAATGAAGTACTTTAAACCAAATGGAAATGACTGAAAGTGCTTTGCCAGACCTGTCCCGCAGCAGCAGGGTCACTGCTAGTGCTGGGGGGGGGCTCCTTCTTCACCTCCGGGGCGTTCTCCGGCACCCGCACCCGCACGAAGTTGATGACGTGGTGCAGGTTCGACAGCAGACTGGTGCCAGGAAACCAGCTATCGTGGCAGTGCTCTTCGATGGAAGGTTCCTGCATTACAGAGGAACTGGGCTTTAGCACGGAATTACCCCTATATGGGGGCAGACAGGACAGTGTGCCTTTGTCCAGTTACAGGTGCCAATCCTGTGGCATACACAGATATCTGGTCAGGCTCTTAAACTTTCTCCCCAGTTAATAACGGGAAAGAGAAATATACTGCATTTGATGGAGCTGAAACCAAAATATAAAAATTTATTACATGATAACTAAGGCAGATAGATACTTGAGTGCCTGATCACCGAGCATCTGTGCATAAATGAGGTTTATTCATTTATTAAAACAAATCAAAACAGCAGAGCCTATCCAGACACTCCAGTTACAAAAATCCATTTCAATACTAGAATAATTACTTATATAACCAACAGCAACTGTACGCAAGATTCACGGTTTGGTACAAACCTCGGTTTGTTTCTGTTCGATGTATTTGAATAACAAAATCCAAGAGACACTTATTTGCTCATTGTAAAAATAAATCAAAAATATAACATCATAATCATAATGAACTAAATCCCATCTTTACTATGACAAAGTACTGTGCCATATAAGCAAAAAACATCACTATAGCTATAATTATTTTCACATGGTTTGAGTTTCCTCATAGAAGCACCATAAATGCCATGGGGAGACTAATGCCGCTTTTCCACTGGCATTCAGGAACCAGGCCATACCCAAACTGTACTGTGAAGAGACCCTAGTTACTCCACAGTTCCAGCTCGCTTCGATTTTCCACTGCAGAAGTGTCACCTTGGTCAAGGCGTTGCTACATTTGGTGACGTAAAACCAAAGACAGTGACGTAAAACCAAAAAGAGACGCTTATTTACTGTTCACACGGTGTACATCACGATTTACCACGTGCTAACTTCCACTAGCGCGTCTAGAGAATCGCCGCGCTATGTTAGCATCAAATGCTAGTGGAGTTAGCATTTGCGTGTGTAAATTTGCATTACGGATCCATTCCGTTCAGCTTCATTCTTACACATTGCAGACCTTGGTCTCCAGAGACCAACAACTGATGAACAGGATCAGTTTCGGCTTGAGAGGTATCAAATTTTTCATGCCATTATACCATTCAGACATTACACCGGCGCATGCTGTATTTTGACGGTATTTACAATAGCAACGCTATTCCAGCATTTTGAAATCTTGGTGATCAAATCTGCCAAATGGGGGGTCCCCCACAATAAATTTAATATTATTATCTTATTATTACCTTAATTCCGCCCAAGCATTGGACAGTTGTTGAACGGACTTTTGACACACTGAAAATGCCAAGAAAACAGTGCTTTCTAAATGGGATAGGGGATTACTGAATATGTGCAAAATTCATGTTTTTGATTTGACTCCCCCCCCCCCCCCCCAAAATGTGTTAAAAGTCTGTGTAAAATTAAAAATTTTGCAGTTCCCCACGCTACATTTCGCTGACTCACTACCGGACTAGTACTGATAAAATCTGTCGAGCAAGGAGGCTAGTGACAAAAATAAATAAATAAAAAATAATAATGACAACCTTTAATAGAAAATGCACAGAAACTTATGTCACATGCCCGTTTGAGAATCACTGAACTGTAATATGTTCCTGGGAATTTGCTAAAAGATCCATAGAAAATGTTTACATGGCAGACGGCTTTGTTCACAAGATGGCGGCTGCAGGCTCCATTTTCATCCAGATAACGATTTTGTGAAGTAGTAATAAGATCCATCAAAGATCAAAAAGGGTAAATACAGTAAATGATAAACAGATTGATCCTGTTCACAAACATAAATGTCTAATAATCTCATCCTTCTCTCTGCTGTTACTAAATGCCGTTCCTCCAATTTTTGTGCAGTACCTCAAAATTTGAACAGGTCCGCATCTTCACCTATACATTGTTCTTTGTAAATACTGTCACAGAAACAAATGGACAATTTATTTTTTATGTTATCATCCTGACAAGATTAAATGTCTGAGCTGCCCTTCTCTTTGCCATCACTATGTGGCACTGCTTCGATTTTGGTGAGATTTGTCACAAAATTACATTTTTTTCTACATATTTGGATAAAAATATATTTAAAAAAAAACATCTTATCCATGTAGACTTCATACTGCCTTCTCTGGAATTTTTAAACTTGACGTTAAAACCTTTAATAGCACCCTCCTACCTCATCTTCCCTGTCCTCCTGCACCAGGTTGTCCAGGCCCAGCTCGATCAGGTACAACACCATGCACAGCACGTGTTCCGACATGTTTGGGTGATCCATGGAGATCTGAAAGGCAGAACTCGAGGTCAGCCGAGGAAAGGGCATGACATCAGCACCCTGCCAAGCGCTCTGACTGACTAACCTTGCATCTAAACAAAAGCCTCGCGTCATCATGCGACTGTTTCACTTTGTTACACCAATCCACCCGAGTAATACTTTGGGACAGGAGGTACCATCGTGGTTAACGGCTTCTTTGCAGCCTCACACCACCAGAAATGGAGATTCAAAGTAGGGATGGGCATTTCAGGCAGAATAATACTTGAATAATATCCAATTAACCCACTCCACCCCCACCATACACACAGTAATGTGTATGGAGTATGGATCAAAGTATTTCTTTCCATATAAAATGAGATACTGCTTGCTGCTGCCAAGGATAACACGGACCATTTAAACCTAACTTGAATTAAATCCATCCATCCATTTTCTGTAACTACTTGTCCCATTCAGGGTCATGGGGGGTCTGGGACCATCCCAGAGGTTATAGGCGCAAGGCAGGGAGCAACCCAAGATGGGGCATCAACCCATGGTAGGGCACACCATTCATTCACACAGGCAAACCCATGGGCAATCAGATTGCAATATTTAAAATCTTTGTGATATTACAATGTTTATAAAACAAAAAAGGAGTTGAAAATATACCCAAAATAAACTATAGCCAAATACAACTTCATCATCATCCCCCAATAGTATATGTATTTACTGGTTAATTCAGAAAATTTCAAGAACATTTTTAATGACACCCATGACAGCCTAAATGTGCAGTACCAGTCAAAAATTCAGACAGCCAAGTCCCCTACAGAGGAAAGTGATAGTGTCACATGACCTGGTCACCTGACCTAAACACAATAGAGATAGTTTGGGAAGAGTCTGACCAGCAAGTGAAGGAAAAGTGGCCAAGGACAGCTGCAAAAGCATCCCAGTGGGCCATCTCATAAAACTGGCATAGAGGTAGAGGTCAGCCAGTCCCTGGAGAACTTTGGGTTAAGGGCCTTGTTCAGGGGCCCAATGGTGGGATCACTCTGTTGACCATGGGATTTCAACCTGCAACCTTCACTGTCCCAAGCCATAATTCCATGTGTTATTTTGTAGTTTTGATGTCTATTCTAAAATGTAGAGAACAGTACAAATGAACCTTTCTATGGTTGATGTATCCAAAGGTTTGACTGACACTGTATATATAAAATTAACAGCAACAGCATGATCAGATTCTCTTGCACTTTTTGACACAGGTTGTGCCAACAGATACAAAGCAGTACCAACAAATTACTTGTTCAGTATTGTCTCTATGGAATGAAAAATATTCCATTCCCCAGTAGGGAGCTGGGAGGGAGCAAAAACATGGACTGTCTGGGGGACTGGGAGAACACTGGCTTAATACAGGTCTGTACCCTGTAATGGATGGGCTTTCTGTCCAGGGTGTCCCCTGCCCTGGGCTCTGTGCTGACCAGCAGCGCCTCTAGGCTCACAGTGACCCTGCACTAGATAAGCGGTTTGAAGAGGGACGGATGTAGCACATTTTCATTTGCATTTATTTCTTTATCTGTCCAACGTGATGTTCAAGCGGGGGTCAGAGAGCAGAGTCAGCCAGAGTCCCAGGAGCAGCTGGGGTTAAGGATCTCGCTCCAGGGCCCAGTGATGACGTGATTATTCTGCTGGCCTCAGAATTTGAACCTTCAAATTTCCAGGAAGGGGCACAACCCCCTAACTCACTGAGGTAAAAACTTAGCACTGGAGAAAAAAATATCCATCCATCCATTTTCTGTACCCGCTTGTCCTATTCACAGTCATGGGGGGATACAGAGCTTATCCCGGAGGCTACGGGCACAAGTCAAGAAAATATCCGTTCTATAAAATGTATCTAAATGAGCAGTTTTGGATGAAAACATGGACTAAGCAACAACAAAATAATTAATTATACTGTATATTAGAAAGAAAACGTAAATCAATCTATGTAAATCAATTTATGAATTACTTTATACAACCATACCAGCTGAAACAGATTTGGCGTGATAGGGAATGTGGGTCACCTTGTAGAGGAGCGTGAAGATCACTATGTGCAGCGTTTTACAGTGCAGAAGCTTCACCAGGCCCCTGTAGCACGGGTGCAGCGGCGTCCGCTCTTTGTAGGGAGGCCACGGGTTTCCCGAATGCATCCCAGTCTGTTTCAGGCTGCCACACGGAGCAAACACAGCCATTAGAGGGTGCCGGCAGTTCCACTCCGGCGGGAAAAAGCTACGGAATCCTTCTCGCAGAAAATTTCAAAAGCTGATCACTCAATGGGTTATTACAGGCAGCCCCCAGATTACGAACGACATACGTTACTTAAGGCTGGCTTTAAGCTGAATATGTACGGTAGGTAAATCGGAACGATAATACAGCACAAAATAATACTACTAATAATAATAATAATACAGTAATAGAAGTTGGAATGATAACACAGTATATAATAATAATAATAATAAATAATAAATAATAATAATAATAATAATAATAATAATAATAATAATAATAATAATATAAAAGTAGCTACATATGGTACTGTACCATACCTCAAGCTGGTGAACCACTGAAGCCGTGTAATGTTTTCATGAGCATCACAAAGTAGTATAATAGGTTTTATGGCAGTCTGTTTGAAAGTATGAGTTGTCCATGAGTAGGACGCTCCTAACCCAGGGACTGCCTGTACTGCTGATCTGCCGCAGTTCGCATTACTACAGAAGAATCTAAAATATCCTAAAACATTTTTCAGTCACTTCAAGACTTCCTACCTCCTATTATCAACATACAGACATTCCAAAATTGTACTAATTACACAGTGATGCTCAAAAATAATACCAAAAACACAAAGCTACTTTTCTCCCTCAATATAATGATTAAAACAGCTTCTGTTTTTGGAGACGGGACAGATCATTGCTCCTGTAAAGGGGCGTACTGCAGATTATCACAGCAGCAATGCCCCTGTAATGTTTTAACAAATAATGCAGGAGACGTTTCGGCACAGTCGGCAAGTTCGCATCTTACAGACAACAACCTCACAGCAGCCTCTCCAGCCCCCCCCCCCCCCCCCCCCTTGATGTGGAAAGGTCGCCACAGGTCTATTAGCGTTGCATTTGAAATATTGATCATCCTTGACGCTGAACTAATTAGAAGTAACTGCCACAACACCTTACTCTCCACCCACTTTCCAGGGGGGTGGTGTGGCCATCGATCCCCAGAGGACCTGCCCAGCAATGCACCCTTTTGGGAGTAATGGAGAACTGGCCTGCTCCTGGAAGAAGAGAGTGAGGTCCAAACACAAGAAAGCCCCACATGCCAGCTGCCCATCCCTGCCATCTTCCTGAGGGTGCTATAACTGGGGCAACCAGTCCCCTGGGCCAGAGGAGCATGTGCCCTGAGTTTGAGGGATTCATGGAAGAGAGCGATGGCGAGAACAGCACAGCACTGCTTGCTACATGGTCACCAGGATGAGGCCGGGGGCTTACAAGGCAGCGTATCGATCCATCGCCGACTGCACATCTCGCCGGTACACTGTCCGCAGGACCACCATGATGGGGTCGAACTCCTTCTCCCAGACTTCAGCTAGAAAATCACAACACGTACATAATTTGGTATTTTTAGCGTTATAGAAAATTAGCAACAGAAAACCAGTAACATTGACAAGAAACATGCTTGATTAAGGCAATGTATACGGACATGGTAATGGCCTGCCCCCTTGTGTTACAAACACAAAAAACAAACACGAATAAAAGCCAAACAAGCAATACAAGTCACATCTAATACAAAACAACATGTCCTATCCTAAAACCACAATAAAACCATGTATAGAATTATTTCCTGATTATTTCTCGAAAAATATAAACTGACATTGATGACGCTCATAAAAGCATGTTCTGCAACAGATAACAATGACAAACTGAAAATAAAAACAGCTGGGAAGAACCTGAAGATCCTGAAATGTGTTTATAAACTCAGCTGACTGCACAGCAAGAATTTTTTAGGCGTGAATCAGCTAGTTTGGACAAAGAATTTATTTTTGGCTTGTCTCATCAAAGGCTATAGAGAGAAAAAAAAGAAAAAGAAAAATCTCCCAGCTGCTTTTACAGTGTGACACAAGCGCCACCTAGAGGTAGACTGTTGAAACACATAGAGCAGAAGGAGGTTTGTTAGGGCCCTTCTCCACCGCACCAAGCACGGTATTTTTGGTACTTTCGCTTTTCCACTGACTTCCGGTCGAGTACCAGCACCAGAAGCTCCAATACCGAAAGTGTCAAACCAGCTGGGGTGCTTTGATACTTCAGTACTTTGGGGTGGGACTGGAAATGCTTTCTTTGTCGATTGGTTATGCAAATAGCCTGCCTCTGAAACACAATACAAACGCTGCCTTGAAAACAGTTACGAACTCAGAAAAAAAAAAATTGGTCGGAAGAACAGATACAACAAAAAGACCAGAACTGCATGACAAGAAATTTAAAATGAATTTGTGTGCTGTCTTGGTGATGTGATTTTGTTGTAATAAATATTGGGAGTATTTCTAAAGCAAAAAGTAGTTCATAAATTTCTCACAAACCTGTCTAGGAGTGAGTTAAACAGCAAGGATGAAAATGATTACGATTGTGTGGGAGAACGCATGCAGCTCTCACACAAAAACAGAGCAGGTACATTTTGAACTGATTTTTAAACACATATTAAAGATGGTCTATAAAAGGAATGATGATTAAAACTGCAAAGCTAGCTAAGGTTTTTCTATGACAGAGTAAAAATGTTTTAGAGAGACAAATTTCCTGTGGTATAATGTCCATATAGAATTACATTTAAGAAAAAGAATTAATCTAACTGACAAGCAATGTAAGAATTGTATGTGCAGAACTTTCGATGTTGGTATTAATATCGCACATCATCCAGCCCTATAATATACTACAGCCACCTATTTTTCGAATTCAGTACAAAATACCCGATCTCGTGTTGTGATGTCATTCGGTGCGATGTCATTTTATGCCAGTGGAAAACCAACACCTTGAAGTACTGTACTTTTGGTACCTTCTCCAAGCACCGAAATGACGGTACCTGGGGCAGTGGAAAAGCGCCCTTAGACCTGAAGCAGGCACCTCTGAGAGGAAGGCAGCACTGAGAAGCTCCGGGACTGAAAGGATGGCCTACCTTTGGGGGTGTACATGCCCTGCTGCATGGAACCCCCGGGTTCGAACACCGGCGCCTTGAAGTCCGCCACGGCAGACAGCATGGCCTCGAAGCTACAGCTTCCCGGGATAATGCCACTTTTGGGATTAGGATTCTCTGGGATGTGCTTTTCCCGTTAAGCAAAAACTCCAGAGCTTTCGGTTTTAAGCAGATATATAAATTATTATTTTATAAATAAAATGAGTGCCTCTGAGACCTGGAACAGCCTTCTTCTAAATTTGTACCCCAGTTTCTCCCATAAGAACAATAAATCAATTAAGCATTACAATCTTACTACAGTAATCAAACTGTCAATATCATATATTCATAATGCATAAGAAGATGAAAAATGGATGGATAGATGGATGGATGGATGGATAGATGAATAATGTAAATAAAACAGAACTGGTACAGGAAACTGCACACCCTGGAATCTAGACTCACTAGGCTGACCAAAGAAAAAGGGGAAAAAATGCATATGCAAATAAATCATAATAATAAAAATCTAGACATAAAGCAAGAACAGCAGCAGCATGATTCGTGGGAGCGGCTTTAAAACAAAAAACCCTCCTGACTTCCTATGATGCTCCAGTACATGCAGCTACGCAGGGCGTGCATCACACTCACAGCAATGCCCAGCCCATCGTGACATCATCGACGTCCCTCCCCCCGAGGCACAGAGTGGGAGCAGTGAAGGATATGAGGTCCAGCAGTGAGCTGTGGGTTCGGTCATTCATACACAGCTGGGAAACCATCTCCGCTCTGAGGATTTCGTCGTCAGCCATGCCTGTCATGAAGAGACGGCGGAGTGTTACACGCCTGCTCTGGCCCAGTCAGAACATACCTGCCACTAACTACGCCCATTAAATGCTCAGCTCAAGTCTGGGAAAAACCATTTGTACTTGGTGGTTCTACTTTTATCCACACAGAAATGCCCCTTTTATATATATTTCTTTTATATCGCCTAGCTGCTCTCACCTAAATGTATCCGCAAGCTTGTCAATAACACCAGAAAAGTCAGAGCCCCCTCCAGCATCGGCCTTTCTTGCTCAGGCTCCAGTACAGCATTCTGGTGTTTGGAGGCCATGGTTAACAAGTCCACTACCTTGAATCTGCAGGAGAAATGTGCGTTTCATTCAAATACAACGGAGGTGTCACATCTCTCATTCATTCGTTCCTTTTCCAGAGAGCGATTTCTTGCAAACAGCACTAACTTCATATAGCAAATGCAAAAATTCAGTTTAAACCAGGTCTCATGTTCAAAGGCTGGAGATCACACTGGCACAAAAGACTTATATGAAGCAGGTGAAAAAGGGTGTAAACATAGCCTTACCTTTCGAAGACACATGAGATGAAATAATCGGGGTCCAGCCTAGATGCACAAACCTAGGAAACAAAGGAATTGTCTTAGTTGATTTAGGAGAATCTGGGTATTCACTGCAGAACCCGCTCATAGAACACAGCGCTTACCTGGAGCAGGAAGATGTCCGGATCGATCATGGAGTTGCAGAAGTGGGACTGAACGTAGGTCATAGCTTGACCTTTGATCTGCAGCCCATTCCTCACCCACATGTTGCTGTGGATTTCTGACAGGGATGCCTACAATGGGAGGGAGATATGGGTCAAACTGTACAGTTGACAAGTGTTTCACAGCAAGGCGACTTAAGAGGAAATGTCCTGCAGACAAGGGGCTAAACCAGGCGAGACAAACCAGCTGATCCAGGGCGTATTAGGAACATGTGAGATAAAAATAACCTATTCTCTGACTCTGAATACAGTGCACAGAGTGCCTTAACAGAGTATGAATCTGACAAAAAAAAAAACACACATGCTAATGCTGAATAACGCCTCCAATACAGAACCTGAATCTGCAGCGGATGGACCATGATCTTCATAAGCATCTCCTGGTCTGGAAGGAGGCTGTCCAAGTCAATACCCTGACACTTCACGGCCTGCAAAATGTCAAATTCACTGCATTGGTACTGACCAGGACAGCCAAAAGCACACTGCATCAACCTGGCAAGAGGTGAGGGGAGGTTTCAAGCAGCTTCTGGCTCTCAGGTGTGGCTAAAGCATTAGGTTCAGCTCTGATGAAGCAATATCGATTCAAAGACAGTCTTGCCACACTCTGGTCCGCTGGCACAAAGGCAACCGGAGATGGATGAGCAATGCTTGCAGGAGAGCTAGACCTACACTTCAGAAAGCCTGCTGTCGGGAATCGATGTGGGAAAGTCACCGGCGAGCCATGCATCCAGCCTGCCATTTGCGCACTATTAAGCAACACTCTCATTAGGAAGGCCAGGCTATCTGGACAGATGGTCTTTAATCCCTCGACTCACCTTGCTTAGAAACATGGCATAGTAGCGATGCAGGGGCAGGTGAAAGGTTAGCTGATTGGGTGCCGGCTGAAAGAACATTTACAAAAACAAGCATTCATAAAGATTGAAATCTTGCGTAGACTTTGGCATATAAACATAAGTGATGCTGTAAAAGGTCTACCTCATCCACAAAGCCAATGGCATCAAACCACATCTGCAAGGTTTCCAAACAGTATCTCACCACTGTTTTCGTGTACTCTTGTGTCTCCTGTATAAGGGTGGGAAAATAAATACAGCTAACATTAATCGTATCGAAAGCACTTAACGGAACATCACATTGATCAGAAACCGGCCAAAACCCCCAAGAATTAACAGAACCACTATGTAACTGCTACCCGACAGTTCCCTCAAGACACTTGTACATTTTTTTTATTAAGTTAATTAAAATATAATTAATGAAGTACAATTTAAGCAGGTTTAAACTGATCTCTAAATAGAAGCAGAGATGGTGGCGGTGACTTACTTTGACTTTGCAGTGTGTCAGAAGGCCCCACATGGGCTGTGCACAGGCCTCTAGCTCTGCTGCAAACGCTGCATAGTAAGTCTGGGACTCAAACTCCACGTGCTCATTCAGTTCCCGTTTGTTCAGGTTCATACCTAAAAGGCAAAGCGGGGACGACACGATCACACGCATCACTCGGCCATCGGAGGCTAACAGGAGGTGCGTGTAAAGGCAACGAGAGGACGACACGATCACACGTATCACTCGGCCATCGGAGGCTAACAGGAGGTGCATGTCTGGAATCCTCCTCTGAGGAGCTCTCTCACCTTGGAAGAAGGACACAAAACTCATCCACAGAATGAGCAGGGAGTGGTCTTCCAGAAACCTCTTTGCTACACTTTGGTGTGAAAGAATATTAATAAAATCGCTAACTAAAGGCCAGTAGGTGTTGTTTTTCAGCAAAGGCTCCCCACAGTTCACCACCACATGGCGGCTGTTCTCCTCATCTGAAACGAATGAACAACAATTCTGGTAACCTGCTAACATAACTGGGGTTAGTGTTATCTTAAGTGATCAGCATTTGCCTCAATTTAAATCTAGGAAATGGCTGCGATACAAGAAACTATTCAAATGAGATGCCAAACAGTACAAGCAAAGCACTCACAGAATGAGCTCTTAAATATGAAGAAAATGTGCATTACCAACATGCAATTTGGTGTTCAAAATCTAACATGACCCTAACTGAAGAGTCTTGAGGTTGAATGACACGTTAGGCGTTATTCAACCGTCTAGCTAGGCACAGCCTCACCTTGAAGTTCGCATTTGATAAGGCAACTTTCCATCATATAGTGCAGGACGGTGACCATGATGTCGAGCAGCTGGCACTCCTCGGTCATGTGACGCGCCAGCTCTTCATTGCTAAACAGCTGTACGCTGATGTGCACGATGCGGTTGGACATGGTGTCTGACTCATGGCTCCTCATCAGCGTCTCCATGATGAAGGCGTAGTGCTGGACGAAGGTTTTGGTAAAGGCAATCTAGAAAGTACGAAAACAGATGTTGGTCAAGTCAGGCACGTAGATTTGCTGGAGGGAAACTGCAGGAACACCACATAATTACAGCGCCCTCCACGATTATTGGCACCCCTTGTAAAGATTTGTAAAAAGGGTTAGAAAACACTGAAAAAATGAGAGAAATCCAACCTTTCATTAACATAAATATATTCCAAGAAAAAAAAAAATCCTTCATCAAGAAATGATTATCTTTAACAAAAACTCATGTGCCACGATTATTGGCACCCCTGCTTGTAATACTTTGTGCAACCTCCCTTTGCCAGTATATCAAAACTGAGTCTTCTCCTATAACATTTTATAAGGTTGGAGAATACCAAGCAGGGCATCTGAGTCCATTCCTCTTTACAGAATTTCTCCAGATCATCCTGGGTCCTAAGCAATCTCTCGTGCACTGTCCTCTTCAGCTCAGCTCACAGGTTTTCAGTGGGGTTCAGGTCAGGGGACTGAGATGGCCATGGCAGAAGCTGGTCAGCTAACCATTGTTGTGTTGATTTGGACATGTGCTTAGGATCACTGTCCAGCTGGAAGATCCAATGACGGCCCAGTTTTTGTTTCCTGGCAGAGGTGGCCAAATTTTGATTGAAAATGTCCTGGTATTTCATGGAGTCCATAGACTCCAGGTCCTTTGGTGGAAAAACAGCCCCAGAACATCACAGAACCTCCACAATATTTTGCATTTGAGATAAGGTTAATTTCATTATAGCTAGGGGTGTAACAATACATCGATTTGTATCGATATATCGACTCAACGGCAAATGATCCGATGCATCGATGTGACCGCATAAATATCGATACATGCATTTTTATTTTCTCGCCTGTTCTAGTATTGTTTTCATGATCCACTCCGACGTATACATGGTCTACACCAGGGGTGCCCAATACGTCGATCGCGATATACTGGTCTATTGTAAAGGTAGTGTGGGTAGATCGTATGGCATAAAAAATAAAGGATGGATGACGCATTCAACCGCGCCAGCTGCTGCAAATCTCTAGCAAGCTACCGAGTTGCTGTTACGATCGTGTGACGGGCGAGCGAGCAGGGTGCGGGAAAGCAGGACCAGGGAAACGGAAATCCAAAGGACGAGGTTTATTCAGGGTGGACAGGGAACCACACAGTACAAACGTTATTCACAGACCTAGGGAAACAGACTTGAATGCGGACTAAATACAGGACATGACATCAGAATAAACGCAAGACAGCTGATACTTTGGGAATTCACACGCGGGTAACGAGGTGGGCGTGGCACACACGAGGACTGGACGCACAGGTCATGAATCGCCTAGTTAGCCTCCAGTTTATTGCTACTAAACTTAAGAAAGGGTATAAAAATGAATGGGGGAGCTGGACCAAGTAAGAAGCCAACAGCCTACCACTGTTTTTTTTCCCACCATGTCATATTCGAAGTGCATTTGCCTCATATGTCAGTCTACCACTGCTATTCCGAAGAAGGGAAATGTAGAGCGGCATTTTTGCACTGTTCATATAAATAAATGATTTGCATTTTTATAGTACGTAGATCACTTTGATTTAGTCATTTATAAGTAGCTCGATTCATAATAAAAATTTGTCACCATCTTAATATACATCCATCAAAAGTTTTTATTTTTACCTTATTGCACTTTATTTTGCTTGTTTTATGGGACATACTTGACTACACTGGATTTTGTTTACGGTTCCCAATAAAATATGATAAAATGCTAATTATATTTAATTTTAATTCATTGAAATGTAAAGGGTTGTGTGAATCCAGGACTTGTACTGCTCAAGGACTAGGAAACGAGCAGTTAAAATCATTTCAGATCCGTCACACCCAGGACATAATCTCTTCCAGCTCCTCCCCTCTGGCAGGCGCTATAGAGCTCGGTACACAAAGACCAGTAGACATAGGAGCAGCTTCTTCCCTCAGGCCATCACCCTCATAAACAGCTAAGCTGTCACCTGCCCCCTGTCTACACTCTACGTCGTACCTTAATAATGTACAATGTTACCCACGTGGGCTTGTATATAATATTTATATTTCATACTTGTAATTTTTTGTACAGTGTAATTTATTGTTTGTTTGTATAGTGTCATTTATTGTTGTATAGCTTGTATAGTGTCTCTATGTATGAGAGAGTCTCAAGCTGCCGGAACAAATTCCTTGTGTGCCCCAGCACACTTGGCGAATAAAGGCTGATTCTGATTCTGATTCTGAAATTTCATCATTTCGACTACTATCCCCAGTATTGAACTGAATCGAATCGTATCGTATCGTGGGAATTTCTGAGGTCCGTTGGCTTAAGGAATCGATATTGTATCGTATCGCGAGGAAAGCTGTGATTCACACCCCTAATCATAGCCACCCTTCTTTTTACGCCAAACCCACCTTGTGTTTTCTGCCAATAAGCTCCATTTTTGGTTCATCAGACCACTGAATTTAGTTCCAGTCAAAGCTGTAGTAGTGTTTCACAAACTCCAGATGTTTACGTTTGAGGTTAACTGACAAAAAAAAAAGTTTTTTCTGGCATACAATCCAAATAATCCATTAGCATGAAGATAATGTTAGTGTCTGATAGTGTTATTTAGATAATGTTAGTGTCTGATAGTGTTATTTAGAGATGTGGTAACCCCTTGATTTTACTTGGTCTTGTAATTCACCAATAGTCATCCTTGGGGATTTTTTTGCCTCTCTTATGATCCTCCTCACTGTACGTGGGGGAAAATAAACTTGCGTCCTCTTCCAGGCAGGTTTGTAACAGTTCCAGTTGTTGTCCACTTTTTTTATTATTGCCCTTATAGTAGAAATGGACATTTTAATGCGAGTAGCTATTTTTAATACCCATTGCATGACTTATGAAGGTCAATACACTTCTCCCTCATTTGGTTTGTATGATCTCTTATCTTTCCCATGTTGATGGATGACTAAGGGAATTTGGGCTCTGTGTCGCCTCATGTTCGTATTCCTGTTAACCAGGAAGTCATGGATTACAGCTTGAAGGTTCCTATTCACTCCACTCAAGTCAAAGATGTACAATTCACAGGGGAAACATGTTTCAGTTGCATTGTGTTCACTATAATTTCCAGGGGTGCCAATAATCCCTATAAACATGTGTTTTTGTTAAAGATAATTTCTTGATGATTTTTTTTTCTTGGAATAAATCTATGTTAATGAAAGGTTGGATTTTTCTAAATTTTTCAGTGTGACATGAAGATGCTTCACCAAAAGGTGGATTTTTTTCTAAGCATTTTTACAAATCTTTACAAGGGGTGCCAATAATTGTGGAGGGCGCTGTACATATGTAATTACTGTCCATAGGGTGTAATTGTACGTGCGTGCATGAGATGGGCTGCTACCCGATCCATGATGTAGCTCTGCCATGTACCTTATGCTACCTGGGATAAATGCCAGGCCCTAAATGCAACCCCACACTGGATAAGCAATTGGATAGATGGATGGATGGATGGATGGATGGATGGATTTGCTTTAATTAACCTCATAATTCCAAACATGTTTAACCTGGACCACGCCACTGCTCATTCTGCCATCGAAATCAGCACCATGACCTGCCTTCCCTAACAGCAGCATCCAAAACTTCCAACAGACCTTCCGCTTCTACACTCAGAACTTAACAATGTGGAGCATACAATTCAGCACTTTGTTAATCTGACTACCGCCGCCAGCCCATAGAAGATTAGAACATTCCACCTCATTTAGAGCAATTTCCCCTCATAACTCTCTGCATTCAAAATGTTCAAGCAATAATACTGACACACTTATAGGTGTAAACCTTGAACATTCTAAATGTTACAGTCATATTAGAACATATGTAAATAGGATCATTGGTTTTATACTAAGCTCTTGACCTTTGAGGACAATAAGAATGAGATTAGGCCACATGTCTGAAAGCTCTGAAAGGTCCTGTGCTTTTGCATGCAGATACCTCCACGCAGACATACCTTATAATCCTGATCTGGCAGCATATTCAGTAGAAAAGTCACCATCTTCTGTGGAAACTCATACTTAATCGTCCAGAAGAGAAGCTCTTCTAAAAAGCATTTATGTTTCAACGCATCCATTATGGACTTGTCTAGAAAGACACAGGAAATGGATTTAAGTGGGGGGGGGGCATGAAAACAGGGTGGCAGAGAGCCGGGCGCCGGCGGTCCGATGGTACCTTTGGTACTGCTGCTTAGTTTCACCCTTTTCCTCTGGCCCACGTTTTGGCCTCCATCCTGATCCTCCTGCAGGAAAAAGCAGGTGACGAGTGACATACCACACAACCCACTTTGCTGGTAAAGCTAACGAACAACAGTCCTAATGTCAGAAAGCACAAACACCATAGCAGGGTGAGGACAGCATGTCGCAAATCCATGAACTAAGAGTAGCCGGGTACTTTATTAGAGGCACACTTGCCCTAATGCATGCGATCAACACTTGCCCTACCGCGTGCGATCAACACTGCGATTACAGTGTCCATTTATTCCAAGGAAAAAAATCATCAAGAAATTATCATCAACACTGCGATCAACACTGTAATCAACACTACGATCAACACTGTAATCAACAATGCGATCAACACCGCGATCACAGTGTCCATTTATTCCAGGAAAAAAATCAAGAAATTATCATCAACACTGCGATCAATACTGCGATCACAGTGTCCATTTATTCCAAGAAAAAAAAAAATCAAGAAATTCCAAGAAAAAAAAATCAAGAAATTATCATCAGCACTGCGATCAACACTGCGAGCACAGTGTCCATTTATTCCAAGAAAAAAAATCATCAAGAAATGATCATCAACACTGCGATCACAGTGTCTCTTTATTCCAAGAAATAAAATCATCAAGAAATTATGATCAACACTGCGATCAACACTACGACCACAGTGTCCATTTATTCCAAGAAAAAAAAATCATTATTATCAACACTGCGATCAACACTGCGATCAACATTGTAATCAAGACTCACCTCCTTAACAGAACCTGCACTGGCTTCAGCAGCAGCACCTAGAGGGTTAGGAAACAAATGTAAACCAATTAGTGCTTTGCTCATAAGAGAACATTTTATTATCCTTATGTAAGGTGGTCTGCCAATATATATAGTGGTAAACACTAAAATTCTTTAGGATAAAATTAAAAATAGTGGGTTAGTGGATAGCAGCCCTGCGTGAGAGGACTTGTTTTCCTTTTGTTTACATTCTCCCACAATCCAAAGACATGTGACAGAGGGGAACTGACCACATCACCCTTACACTGTGCTTTTACAGCCCATATTGAGAGCGCTCAACAACTACCCTTTAGGTGTCCCACAATGAGAAAAATGTATAGCTAGGTACCATCACAAGCTGCTCTTAGTCATTGTTTTTCCATCCATTTCAACTGAAGTCAGGAATCAGGAATGTCAGCATCATGTAAAAATCTGACTATACGAGAAGCAGGAGACGGGGTGTCTCACCCGGCAGACTATGAGCCCCTGGCAGAGCATCTGCTCCCCCAGCCCCAGCCTTCTCCTCCGCAGAAACCAGCCCAGAGCTCTTCAGAGCTGCTAGGTACTTGTCGTAATTCTTCTTTGCATAAACGTTATCTTCTTGCCCTGCAGGTGAGAAAGGAAATAAATACCGATCACTAACATCAGAATGGACATGCTAATTAAAATAATGACAACAATGTATTCCAAGCAGAGGTGGAAAGTTCAGGTCCAGAGAGTACAAATCCATACCAAGGTTTTGTTTCAGCCAAGCAGTTGAGTACTCTGTGGCTGTGTCTCTTTATACTCAACTGGTTGGTTGAAACAAAACCTTGGCCTGGATTTGTATTATCTGGACCTGAGCTTTACACCTTGGATTCCATGGAAGACCCCATCACCCCCTACCCCTCGTATAACCCCCCCAACCTCCACAATCCCCACCCCCCCCATCTCTCCAAAAAAATCTATATTAAAACAGCCCATCTTTGTGTAACTAGTCTCCATATAATCTGCTTCACCAGTGACTATCCTTTCACGCGCCACGATTAAGTGATACTGCTTCAATTATGGGGCATTTTGGCCAAAATTACATAATCTCAGCTAATAAACTTCACAGCCTGTCTTGTATTAACTATACAGAATTTTGTACAACACAAAAGAGAATTTAAAATCATTTCAGGGGATTTTACAAGGACTTTACGTTGGCCTGATGCACTTAATTAGAGAATCACATATCTAACAAACATAACAAACATCTGTGCTTAATGCAAGAACCAAGGATAACCATTTTGTAGTAATCGGACTGACAAGAAGATCAAATTTTCAGATTACAGGACATGTATTATCTGCACAAGTTACAATACAGACCTCAGGACCCTGACCCACAAAGTTGGAAGATGGACAGATGGAGGGAATACAATAAAGAGAGCAATTTACCCATGCTTAGGTCTTTGAAAGTCTGCTGATTGGTTAAGATCTTTGTTAGAACAGTTCTCATGGCCCCGCCCATCTTGGTTAACTCTTCCAGGAAGGAGATGTGGGGCTCCAGCTGCTGCAGAACTTTCTGAAGATCTCTCTCCGCTCCTGCCTCTGCAAAAAAGAGGACGAAGATACCAATGGATTACTTGATCGGTCCATCATGGAAGGGTAACATGAGGATAAAAATCAGCCAACCTTCTGGTCAAAACTAAAAGACAAGGAAAGAAGGACAAAATGCACTCTTGATAAAAGTCTTGGAGTCAAAACACATAAAAGCTGTTTAAATGCTATGTAATGCTATTTATCTAGGTTGTAAGTGCACTTTTTCTCAGAATACAAAACACAATTTAACATTAGTACACATGCAAATTAACAATACAAATTAATAAAAATTTATTCTATTCTCCAAAAATTTGCTGATATTTGGTTGGATGGCTTCAGTTCCCAAACCTCTCCTCAGCGACACCCCAGCCATAACACGTCTTTATTAAATTTCACCACCAGCTCACTTAATTAATTAACCTAATTAGCTTTAAGAAGTGGGTGAGATATTGATTAGCTATACGAGGTGGGCTAGTGGTCGAGTCAAAAAACACATGGGTGTATGGATGGCTGCTGCAGATACTGTGGTGGTTTCAGCAAAGGTTTTGAAATGGCTAAGCTAACACACTCTGACAGGCGTAACAGCATCATCTTAAACCAACACGAAGATCATTTAAACATCATTTTCTTTGGCTGCCTAAAACTTTGGCACAGGAATGTAAGTAGCATTATGCAACCACAATTATCTGATATACTACTATACCTCTTAATATCCCCCCCCAAATGACACATGGGAGGGGCAGAGAGGGAGAGAGGAAGCACACGCTGATTACAGCACGATGCCACACCTCAGGGATGAGAACCCGAGCGCAGCCCTGCAGAGGGGGACACCTCAGCACCACACTAGTCCAAATGGAACAGTGGCAGAGTGCCAATCCTGCCACCAACCCCCAAATTTTCCCTTTAAGCTGGAGGACCTCCTTGCAGGGCTGGATGTAGAATACCGTCATACCCAGGATGAAGCGATTGCAGGTTAAGGGCCTTGATCAAGGGCCCAATGTAGCAGGATCACTGCTGACATTCATGGGATTTGAACCAGCAACCTTCCGATTGCTGGCACAGATCCCGAGCCTTTTTTTGTTCTTTACCTGGTTCAGTGTATCCCTCTCTTAAGTGCTGAACAATATGAATAATGAAACGTGGAAGAACCATCTCTGACATCAGCAGCAAGTCTCTGGGGATGGAGGGAACATTTTCTCCAGTTTTCGATCGATGCCGCCTGCAAAATCTATGAAACAGGACAATGTGACATTCACACATATAAAAAGTATTGCTCTAGTCAACCTGTTTGAATTTAAACAAGGGAGAAAAAACAGCATACTAGGGGATCACTGCATGATTTCTCCCTGTATTCTGTCACCCATGAAGACACAGATAAAGATAAAGCCAGACAAATTAATGCTAACTAGCCCAGAACACAGTTAATTCATTCAACCCAGAAAATACACTAAAAAAATCCATAAATACACAATGACAGATTTCAATATTTAACACTTTTTATACATCTAGTAAACACATGCAATTATCACCTATAACATTATTTTAAGTGAACTGAAAGGAAAAAAAACCTTCATTTTACACGCAGATCTTTATTTTCCAATACTTATTTCAAATACAAAAGCACAGGAATTCAACAAACAGTCCAGTAGTAACCATTTTAAAAAGTAATTCACCAATCATGGATATTTTTGTCTTTATTTGCAGCCCCATTCATGTGTCAAATATAAGAGTTTTCCCCTCTAAAAGCAGCCACAGAGATGCTTTCCTAGAGTTAAACACCACCATAAGCAGAAAACACCATTTAAACATATATCCTAAACATTTACGATTCAAAACACATCACCTTGTCATTATTATCAGAACAACTTTGTCCTGGGGTCCAGTAGGACAGATTCAGGGGGTGCATCACTTTACTGGGTCCCATGAATACGTTAAACTATTAATTTTATAGAGCAGAGGGACCCAAGGTGACAAATTTTGCCCTATGTTCAAGCAGTATGTCAAAATAAAAGTCACGCTTGGAGTAACAACTTGAAATCGGGTGCACCTGCTGTGGACCGCAACTGCTATTATTTTGAATTCAAAACTGAAAGTGGAGCAATAGGCATTACAATTATAGCAAGCATACCGGGCGGAGTGTAACAATTCCATAACGGAGGTTGCACAACAACTTTTCCATTTCTGACAGCTAAAATGTAAATTATGTTTCTGTTTACATACTAGCTTAACACAGGAATATGTTACGGGCTTTTATTACGTTGCTACTGACAGCATTGCTAAGTATGCAGCAATAAGAGAATATCCATTTTTTTACCTACAAGGAAATCGCAAAAAGGAACTTGTGAAATAGCTGCGAAAACAGATCCTGGCGTTACTCCTCGTGGTCTGTGACGTTAGTAAAAATAAATATGACTTGAACACCCCCCTCCCCATAGTGACACAGTGACAGCATAAAATGACACTTTGGTTACTATGTGGCTCCAGTTAACAGCGATCGATGGTTACGGGACGGCGATCACCAGCGCTAGTTTTACCATCTCATAAAGGCTTTATTAGATTATATTAGATTAGCTTACATTTCTTTATTGCCATTTTTTTGTGTATTTGCATCCATAAACACTGACACCCCTTGGGGCGGCCGTACTCACCCACTTTCCCGCATGACATTACTGTCCCCACAGTCGCAGGCCCCGCCGGCCTGGCTCCTGAACATATTGAAGTCATGGCCCGTGTGGTCGCCGTTGTTGAAGCACTCGGCGCACAGCGACATGCACGGCGAGATGCCACAGGTGCGGCAGCGGTACGCCACGAAATTGGCAGTCCACACCAAGCCGCAAAGGGTGGCGTTATCGTAGGAGCGCACCGTCTTGCAAAACTCATCGAAAGCGTCCCCTCCTGCCAGCAGACACTTGCACCACTCCAAGGCCTCCGTGTCCCCGGCTTGCATTTCTGGATTAAGGACACAATCCAGCAGATCCTGAAGCATACGTGCCCCCGAGCCGTCGTCAGTCCGGTTGAGGTCGGCCTTCAGTTGCGCGGCTGTGGCTTTCTTGTCCCGGCGCAGCAGCGACGCCGCCATCATGTACTAAGGATTGTTGTCCAAAATTTATTTTTGTTGTTCTGTCGGGGCGTTCTCGCGTTTTCTCGCGATAACTTCATGGGCAAGGTTGGTGGTTTAAAGCGCCCTGCTTGGGAATCGGCTGGGCGGTGTCGTTTGTATAGGAGAGCCGCACAGGAGTTTTCTTTCCCCCTTTTCCTCCCCCTCCCGTGTTACTGAGTTGCTATTTATAGAGGTGCCACGGGGTCTGTAAGGCTCGTTTAGCTGACAGCATGCTCCTCCCTTGGTATGTGTGAGTGCGGGCAGTCCCGGCATCGTCGCGACGCTGCGGATCCTCACGCGTCAAGCTGGGGTCATGCAGTGAGTGCAGTATATATTGCAAATTTGCCCAGGGGAACCCCGAAGTCCGAGGCCGATTTTACACACACACACACAAACACACACACACACACACACATATATATGTATCCTATATAGGCCTACATATACATACGTGTCATGCTATTATGCAAAACATGAATTATTCGGTATCACAAAAATCAACGAGTTGTATAGGATATTTGCTGAGAGATTCATAATTCACCAAAATATGCCCTCTTTTCGGTGTGCCGCACTGATATGCAAACCTGTGTAATAATGTAAGCAATTTTATGAAGGTGTTACACAAAGAAAGGACTTACCAGTGTTAAATTAGAACAGTTAATACATTTGTTGGAATAATTCTAATTGTGATATTATTTTAATTTTAGTAATGTCTGATTGTGATTTTTATTTCCAAATATAATTAAATTACTTGTTATGGACAAGTGGGTATAGAAGATGGAGGTTAGTTTCATTGAATTGTCAAACTAGTATTCATGTGTATCTAACAGTCTAACTGTTGCAAACACATAAATGTCAGAGGAAAAAAATGTAATCAATAAAATCTTGAAGTGTTTACCGAAGACTGCTGATATTTGGTCTCCTGTTTTCCGTATATTCAAGGGGTTCAGCATTGCAACTTGTCACACAAGCCCCACATTTGCTTTGATATGCTCACTGCAGTTATCATTACTTTAACCATTCAAGAGATAATTTCATTATTAAATGTTTAGCCACTTTCATTTCAATGGGACCAACATAATTTTATTCTATATGTCCAGTCTCACAAAGGATTTTCTGTTTGACAAATCAAAGAACCAAAAAGAAAAATCCACATGTATTTGTCAAACTTAGGCTACTTCCTTCCTTAATAACTGATCAGTATAACCACCATAATCATCGCATAATCACAATGTTTGGCAATATAAAATAAAACTCAGCATAATTAAAAACAATTGTATTTATTAAATAGTGCATTTGTATAACGTAACACTGGTATAACAATCAAAAACTTGCTCTCCTGCAAAAGTAAAATTATACTAACGCCATTTGTGACTTGCAAAACTGGCTCAATTGACACAAATTCCAACATCAAAAAGCACTTAAGGGTAACATTCATTTGTAAAAATGAAACTATATATTAAACTAATAATCAACATCAAACCTCTGTAGAGATACTAGATAATAAATTAGGTATGTTAATTTGACTTCATCTGTGAATAGATTTGTATAATATTCAAGCTAAATGGAAAATAAACACAATGTTTAATGTTATATAGAATAAATATGTGTGTGTGTGTGCGTGCGTGTGTGTGTGTACATACAAATGTGTATACACCTATATGGTATTTGACATAAAATGTTTTAAAATAACTGATATACAGGTTATGACTGAAATACAACATAAATAGCAGTTTTTTTTTTTTTTAATTTACAGTATAAAACCAAATTCATCACAGTTCACACAAGTTGCTATGTGCATTCATAAACAAAAAATATGCACAATTACAATACATATAAAACACAATTAAAAACGAATAGTTTACCTGGTGTTTTTTGTAGAGGTCTCTCTACATTCAACCAATATTTTTAACACTTCGAAGGTTTACAAACTTGATGTTTTCATAATTACTTTTAAAAAGTTAAAAGCTGCTTTGCTTTAAATACAAATAGGTAAAGACCAAATATTGTGCTGGGATGAAAACTTCATCTTATTCTGCATGAGATATAAAATTTTACAAATAATTAACAGTACCTTCTCATAAAGTTACAGTAGACAATGTGCACATTTCAAACCTTCAAAGACCAATAGCAACACTTTCCTGAGCAGACAAACGACTTGATACTTGATAAAGCCTGATACCAAGCATTACCGGTTAACATAAAATCCTCCAACCTCTATAGATTGATGCCATTTGGATAGAACTTTATGGACACTGGAGGGTATTCAGAGAAACAACAAAAATGTATAATACGGTTTAATACATCTTAGGAGGAACAGAAAATGGTGAAACTGACTACTGCTTTACTGAAAGTATTGAGTATCATGGCAAAAACAGGTGGCAGGAAGGTGATGGGGGCAGGTTTAGATCAGATCAGCTTTTCAGCAGAAGGTCTGGTGGCCGTGGTCATGCAGGTGCTCTGTCCTCCGAAGCAGGAAACACCTGCCCCCTCCGACATGTACCGAAAAAGGGCAACTTACACGCTGTAGACACAGATGCAGCCGTGGGAGCGAGTGGCACTGGGAAGGTTACCTACGATCTCCCACGTGTCCTGCTCAGGGTCATACTTCTCGATGCTCTGCAGGTATGTGCCTTTGGAATATGAGTAGCCCCCTGTCACATAGATGCAGCCGTTCATGACCACTGCACCGCACTCCATCCTCCTCTCCTTCATGACAGACATCTGCCTCCACTCATCCTTCTCTGGGTCATAGCAGTCTGTGATGGTGGTCTGTCCTCCCACTAGGTAAAGCTTGTTGTTCAGGGACACTGAGCACAGACCATACTCTGAAACAGTAAAACATCAGAGGTTTACTGCAGGGCTACTCAAATCACGGTCTTCAAGGTCAGAGCATTGCTGATTTTCCAGCCTGTCTTTACCTGGGAACCAGGTGTAAAGCCTCCAGCCAATCAGAATCAGTACTTATTAAACTAACGACCTGGGAGAACTGAAAACAAGGCCTAGATGTGGAATTGAGGTCCAGATTTGAAAAGCTCTGGTTTATTGCATGTTTATAAAATTCACATTAGATCTTTTAGCTGTGCCCTGTATTTAAGAGACAGTACTATGTAAATGTAATATACAAAATTAAACCAAAAGCCTCTGAGAGTTATTTAATCTTTAATCTTTTTTTGTGATACTTATTATCCAGTATAGAGGTGAAAGGAGCTGGGATTTTATCCCAGGAAGCACAGGGCATAAGGTAGGGGGACACCCTGAATGAGGTTCCAGTCCTTTGCAGGACACTCATGTGGGAGGAGAATAAGCAAACTCTACATATACAGTACCTGGGGGAGGAATTAAACCCACTACCCTGGAGTATACAATGCGAGTTGACCACCAGGGCCCTCTGCATATTTCACTATATTTTTCCTGTAGTGTTAGGACCACATCTTTAGGCTATGGGTACGTTTTTTCAATGACCCCCCCCCCCCCTTGCTAATTGTAAAGCCTGGATTTACCTGAGCAACACAGATGCTCCAGGCAGGATTATAGAAAACCCACAAAGTTTTCCCCTCTATACTGCAAACAAGAGACACACAGGCTGATTGCTACCACAAGCAGGTCTTATTATACCTACTGTACAGCATAAAGAAGCGGTAGCAGAGGTGGAGATTTCAGGTCCAGAGAGTACAAATCCAGACCAAGATTTTGTTTCAACCAACCAGCTGAGTACTCTGTGACTGTGACTCTTTATACTCATCTAGTTGGCGGAAACAAAATCTTGGTCTGGATTTGTACTCTCTGGACCTGAAAACTCCACCTCTGCTCATTATTTTGTAATTACTCTGTCCACTTTTCTTTACCTGGATGAGGGCTTATTGTGGCTATGCTCCACTCATTGAGGTCAGCCCTGTAGCTCTGAATCTTTTCATAAGTGCAGCTTCCTCTGTAACCAAAATGGCCCCCCGTTACGTAGATTGTGTCACGTAGCACACAGGCTGTGGCATTCCCCACACCTTTAAAAAGAGAGAGGAGCACTAAAATAGGGCACTAACCAGCCAATTAATTTTTAAGACACAAATAAACACAAAGGGAGCCGGCTCTGATATACACATGCTCACAAACAGTATGAAGAGATATCCACACACACACACACACACACACACCCTTACTCTCACCCTACACTGCGCTACACTGTGGCAAAGGTGCTGCCAGCATAATTGTTACCTCCTTCTGAGAAAATGTCAACTCATCTGAAATAATGAGTAATAGGGCTGGGCAATATAACAGTATTACTGGTAATCAATGATAACAGCCAAGAAACCCTGTGTCGATATCTGACAGTGGCTAACCGGAGATTATTGCTTGTGTCCGGAATGTAGGCTTAGGCTACACTCAAAGCAAGACAAGAGAAGGATTTATTTGGCTTCCAGTTCAAGGCTTCCAGCCAATGTTTCTGATGCTGCTAAAAAAAAAAAAAAGCTCAATGTTTCATTGCATGTTGCAGCAATTGTGTCTTTGCCATTCTTGTAAGTTGGGAAGTTAGATGTTGTCACATCACCAACTTCTATCTTCCAGTCAGCAGCCCCAGAATGTCAGATGTTCAAGTGTAACTTCCTGGCGGGAATTCCGAGATTCCCGACTTATGCAGATGGTCAAGAAAGGACATTGCTGACAGCCTTGACAACCTAGTTACAAATTCCTTCTTTGCAGCTTCTTTCATTTATGGGAGGGGCTTGTGAGTATTGATTTAAAGTGACTGTGGTTGAGTGTGGGTTTGGTGGGGGGGTGTTAAGATGACATGATATGATAATTTATCCTGATATTTTTCAATTAAATTATCATGCATTATTTTTTAGATATTGCCCAGCCATAATTAATAATTGATTTCATTAGATTGTTACTGATAGACTTCAGTCATTCAAATGCTCAGGGAAACATGATGCAGTGTGTCTGTCACAGCGGTGGTTCTTTTGTTGAGCACGAGCACCAGTTACTTTATTCTGAATGCTCAGTACTGGGTCATTTAGCAGTGTGATGCATGCTGGGAATACTCATTTTAACCTACCTAACAGTGACTAATCAATTCAGTATAGAACTACAGGTAGTGGTGTAATGTCATTGCTCAGTCCAATACGCACGTGTGCAAGGGAATAGTTTTTTGTAATTTGTACATATTGATTTTTAGTCACATGTGTGACAAAAATGTCCCTCTGTAGAGGCCTGTGTGACATTGTAAGGCAAAAGGCCTATCTGTCGACATTTTCTTCGATGGCATTAGGAGACTGGCTTTACCTGCTGACAGCTATGTAGAGCTCAGCTGAACAATGATATAATTGTTAATGTGTGTGGCAAAAAAGTACAACATATTTTATTTGTCATTTGTATAGCTACAAGTACATAAGTATTTTTTCCATGAAAGACACAGACTCCATTGACAGCAAACTTTGGGGTCAGCAAGTCAGTGTACAGCACCCCTGGAGCAGTTGAAATTAAGGACTTTGCTGAAGGACCCAACAGATGATTACTTGATGCTGCCATTTGAACCCACTACCTTTAGGACCTGCAGGCATACACTCCTAACCCACTAAGTGACACACCACCCTAAATAAAGGCAGATATCTTTTTAAAATGTGTATATTTACAAAGCCTTCCCATACCTTGGATCATTTTGGCCACTGGAAACCACTGTTTCTTCAGCGGGTCATAGAATTCAGTTTCCCGTGCAGGTGCACCTCCCCTATAGCCACCTATTGCATAGATGCAGCCATGCAGTGCCACAGAGCAGTGGTAGTATCTGGCGTCAAGCATGGGACAACCCTCTGCCCACTCTTCAGTATCACTGTTGTAAACCCACACGGCGTCGAGCGCCTCAATGGTGTCCGTCCTGTAGCCTCCCGTCACATAAACATTGGGTCCCAGGATTGCGACACTGTAGCTCTCCCTCGTGTGGTCCGGCATGTCCTTCCTGCTCACCCACGTGTTGGTGACCGGATCCCACATGTGGACCTCAGACAGTGGATGCCAGTAGTAGCCCCCGATTATGTACATGCAAGAGGTCAGCTTCTTGCAGCTCATGGACATCTCTTTGCATGTGGACTTCAGAGAATGGGCAATCAAAGAGCGGATCTTGTTTTCATTGGCCAGCAAACGGGAACTCTGCATGTCCAACATGGTTTTGAAGTACATCTCGTCCAAGTCAAGCTGGATACGGCAGAGCAGGTCTTGGACATAGTCTATGCGTGCCGGCGTATCATGTGCTACCCACCTAACCACGGCCTCCAGGAGAACCCCCTCCTTCCACACGTTGAGGTTCTCTGTCGAAATTATGGTGGTAAGCTTCTCCACATCGACCTCCAGGAACTCGTCCTGCCACATGAGCTCCTCAAATCGACTGAGCATCACTCGCCGGGCCTCCCTCTCCAATGCCGGGCAGAGGTGAAGCTCAGCGAACGCATGCATTCCCAGGCAGTTATCCACATCCAGGAGCCGGATCAGGAAGTTCTCACAGGCCATCTTCACTGTGCTGAACTGCAGCAGGTCGGCTGCCTCGAGCAAACTCTGCACATTGGTCTGAGTGATGTTCACCTTGGAGGTGTACACATAGTCTACCAGAGCAGTAAGAATCTCGCTGTCGATCCCCGATAGCCTGATAACACTGTTTGAGCGCTCTCTCATGTCTGCCGTGAACATCACCTTGAAATAAGAGCTACAGGCTGACAGGGCAGCTTTGTGGCAATGAAAGACCTGCCCGCTGGAACACTGCAGGGTGATATCAGTGAAAAGGTTGCTTACGTAGAATTCCCTGAGCGCATCCAGGAGTTCTGCTGGGTGACTGGCATCACAGAAGTCGTACACGTAGCTCTCTTGTCCTTTGACTGACATCGTACCAGCACCAAACTGTGAGTAATTAAGGATGAAAACAGTTGTGGTAATTTAACCATTTGCTGAGACTCCTGGCATCATTGTTCTCCAACACTGCAATATTGTGGAGGATCAACTGACTGATAAAGTTTTTGTAGTGATTTTCATTCTCCTGTTCCAGTTTAGTGTATTGCTGAGTCTTTCTTAAGTCTCCTGGAAAGTTAACAGCAGATATTAACTTATCATAACACACCATTGTGACACAAATTCATATTTCAAACTAGAAAGGGGGCTGTCACAGTCACAGTATTGTATTCGCCGGACAGCCTCGTCACCCGCTTCGTCCATCTGTACTCTTTGCACACTTACCAATCTGTATAATTTGTAGAAATACTGGATGGACCAACAAGGAAATCTGAAAGCCAACAAATGTGTTTTTACCCGAATGCTGTGAGTCCTAGTTGTGACAAGTAACCTTGACTCTACACTTATTCATTAATAGCACATTCCACTATCTGCAGAATCTTTCCCTACCAATTAGGCAGGTAACTGTATTTCTTTGTGTCTTAATGTCCATGTTTTTAAGTCTCATTTATATTATTCACTTTTTTATATCTAAATATTTCTATTCTATTTATTTATCATTTGCACTCTGACCACCATTGTCCATGACATAACAGAAAGAACAGAAACAGATACATCGATGGTACAGAGACCCCTGGAGACCATGGATGAAGCTCACATGACCCCTAAAGCGTGCACATGATTTACTTTCTTTGTACTCTCAGCTTGCTATTTCGAGTTCTCAAATTAATTCTCAATTAAACTAGAATTGGTGACGGAAATTACAGCATTGTGCTCCCCAGACAGCCCCAATACTGGCTCCGCCCCTCAAATCTCTATTCACCCACACTCACCAACTTGTACAATTTCTAGAAGTACTGGATGGGTAACCGGGAAATGTGAAAGTTAACAAATGGTTTTGCCTGAATGTTCTGAGTCCTTGTTGGTATATTTAAGTCTGAAAGTAAACATTCATTTACAGTATTACACATACCACTTATATGACAATTTGCAGAATCTACTCCCACCAATTAGGTGGTTCCTTTGTGTATTTTAATGTTCATGTTTGGAAATGTCATTTAAATTATTTATATGTTTAGTTATTTGCATTCTATTTATATCTATTTGGCACCATGACCAACATTTTTTGTGACGTGACAGTAAGAACTATGATAGATACACTAATGATATATACGGAGGTCTGGACGGGCCATGGACATATTTTTAAGTGGTAATAAGTTCCATCATAGTTGAAGTAGAGTAAATGGAGTAAATAATAACAAATAGATTGATCCTCTTCACAAGGATAAGTCTTCAATCATCTCATCCTTGTCTTTGCTGTTATTAAGCGCCACCGCTTAAATTTTGATGCGATTTGTCACAAAATTTGATCAGGTCCCCACATGTCCAAAATAAAGTGACACAAACAAATTCTCTCACAATAAATTTTGCCGAGTTCTCCATCAGACACTTTGCCAACTGGCTACAGGACTGCTACGGATAAAATTTGCCAGATGGGAGGCTAGCAACCAAAACTCGACATAAACTTTCAAAAATATTCAGAAAATTATCTTGCGCCCCCGCAGTTTTAGAAGTACAGACATGTGCAATTTTCCTGGGATGTTTGCAAAAAGATCCATGGAAAAAGTTTAGATGACAGACGGCTGTGTTCAAAGATGGTGGCTGCAGGCGCCATTTCCCCTCTCAGCCGCCCTCTGCCTTGCAGTTCCAGTTTTGCTGCCCTCTGTCGTTTAAGTGGCAATTTTGGATCTGATGAAGCGTACATTAGGTGCAGAATTTCATCCATATATTGTTTTTGTGAAGTAGTACAAGGTCCATCAATAATCAAGTAGGTTAAATAATAATAAATCGATTAATCCTGTTCACAGGGATATACCTCTAATCATCTCATCCTTCTGTTAGTGTCACTTGAGTGCCATTACTTCAATTTTAATGAGATTTGTCTCAAAAATCTAACAGCTCCAGATTTTCACCCATACCCATTCCCATTCCTCCAAAGTTCCAAAAAAAAAAACAGATCCAAAGACCGGGCAAATAATTTTTGAGTTATCATGCTGATAATGTCAATTGTGCTAACAAAATCAAATGTCTGAAACTACCCTTTTGTTTTGCTATACCGTGCTGATTCAATCGTGGGGCGATCCATTTCAAATTTTTATTACTTCTACCTTATCACCCTTTGTGTTTGAAAAAGAGCATTAAAATACTTTTATAGTTACTTTGATCACAATACAAAATGTCTTTAACAGCTGCTGTTTCCATCCTATGCTGCTACACTGCGCTGCTGCTTTCATTTTTGGGGCAATTTGTCTAAAAATGAAACCAGGTGTAGATATTCATTTATAATGTTTCTGTGCCACAGTAATAAGATCTATCAAATTCACATCAAATAAATTGACTTGTCGCATTCACAATGTCAAATGGCATCTGCTTTCACCATTACTGCAACTAACCAGCGTCGCTTCAATTTTGTGGCGATTCATCTCAAAATTTAAAATTTTCCGATTCAACACCCTGGCAATGCCGCTACAATGTTTTAAAAGATCCGTCAAAAACGTTCTGAGTTATCGTCTTAATAAGCAAAGCACCTGCAGCGTCTTTGACAGACTGTCCCAAAACCGTATGTGTTTCCCCATCCAAGGAATACCAAATCAAGCTTTACTTTTAGGGGGGAATGATCGCTCAGTGGGTAGCATGGTTACTCACACCTCTAGGGTTTGGGGTTTAAATGCTGCTTCTGTGTGTCAGTGGAGTTTGCATATTTTTCCTATATTGCATGGGTTTCCTCCCACAGCTCAAAGAAATACCATTGTCTTTAAATTGCCCAAGGTGCGTGACTTTATGTGACCTGCAATGGACCAGCATCCCATCCAGTGACACCCTCCAGCCTCAACCCCAATCAGGGTAATTGGTTAATAGATGAATGGGATTTACGTTACATTTATTGTCAAGGTTTCTCGGAAAAGGTTGTGTGAAAATTTGTGAGGAATCAATCACGATAAAATTAGTACCCCTAACTCGCAGTAAAGAACCTTGTCCATTTACCTTTGTTTAGCGGTAAAAATAGCCTATACATTTGACATTAAACACACGCACACCTACAATTCAGAGTGCAAGTAAAACATGTTTAGATAGCCTATAGCAGGTAACCACAGAATAAGTCCAGTAGAAATGGTCATCAGTTTTACACCACTGTAGCATTCCTAAAATGACCCGTTTACCCATATTCTACCAAATCAAACGCAGAAAGCACCGCACTACAATAGGGGTTCACTAATAACAGGTAATTCAAATGCATACATAACCGACTCATGGTCAGAAATGACGGCGATCACATCTAAAGAAAAGCTTCATAGACAATAGCTATTCTTACCAGTTCCAGAGTAGAAGCGCTCGGTTTGATATTGGAAATGGCTTTTGCCGGGACCGGGAAATGGGCAGTAAACGGCCGGCGCCTCGGCAGAGACTCCCCGGGGCAGTAACCAGCAGCCGGATGGACTTTCCGTTCGTGCTAAGGGTGCTTGCTCCTATTTTGGTATGTGTATATACTTGGAGCGGCGCTCAGCTGTCACCGGGATCGTAGGTCCCGGGCAGCCTTACAGATTAACGCTGACGGCCGCGGAACCGCATACTATGGCCATAACAAGAGAAAGGCAGCCGCACGCAGACCATAAACACATTGTGTTTATTTATTGCTCTCGTTTATAGTCCAAGCGGTCGTGCGCCATATTAAGTAGCCGCCGCAAATCCAATCAAAATACACAAATTACACGTTGAAATAAACCGTAAAAAAATCACGAAACAACAGCTCGAAGGCTACTGTCCTGCTCCCGTATCCCGATCCTTCCCTGTCGTTGGTATGGCATTTTCAGACTAACCATAATCCCGATTTAAATCGTTGCATAATCTAAATTCTAACATATCGGTCTTTTAGGATAAAGGTCCAGAGACGTCTTTAAGTCAAGTCACATCTGTTATTTGTCACATCTGCAAAGGGTATACAGTGAAATGCAACTCTGTGAGCAGACTATACTGTGCAAATAAAATCGACAAAATATACATTTAAAATTGCAAAGGAATAATACGTTATAATCTTCACACAGCATATTGTGTATGCATGTATGTAGGTCTCTGTACGTATGTATGCAATTTTCCCTTGATAAATCCTGTACAGTAAATGTGCGTACGTGAGTGCACTAGCTGGGGATCCTGCCCAGTTGCCGCCCAGAAATAAGCATACAAAGTTAATGCAAATGAACTGCATCTTCATATAATATGCAAATCAAGCATTTTTGCGTGCAAAGTCTGAGGACAGCGAATGTAAATGACAAACCAAGAAGAGAAATTTTGAACAGCGTGAAGTAGAGGCGCAACAAAATGTCATGTATGGGGGCTTAAGCACATTCATCAGGAGCAGGAAAATGTAAAAATATACATTTTTATTGATGTGCATATTTTACAGCTCTTTCTAGCACTTTCGCTATTTTGCATTAGATTCCAAATTGCATTTCGTTGTCTGAGTACTTGTATTTTGTGCAATGATGATAAAGTTAAATCTAAAATAATGTGTGGTTAAATGGTGACACATCGCCATTCCATCAGAAGATAGAAAGAAACCAGTTGCAGCATAAAGGGAAAGTGGGACTGCAAACACGCACCTGTGCCCTCAAACTTCTACATGGGTATTATCCTAGTGGATGCCCTATTATGCAGTGTTGTAGCAGAGCAATAGGGAAATACCAATGAGGTCAAACTCCAAATGAGCCAATCAGTTGACCCAGACAATTGACATCACATGTGTTAAAGTGATGTCGCTATCAGAATCCGTTTTATTAGCCAAGTATGCATGCAAAGAATCTTACATGGTGTATGGATGCCATACTGGGAAAGGTGATTAGTCCAGGGGTGGATTGCGGATCAGGTGTTAAGCAGTGCAACCGCTCAGTGGAAGAAGCTTCTTGTGTCTTGATGTGGTGGTTCAGATAGACCGGTGTTCCATCTTGCTGAGGGGAGAACTTCGGAAGAGTGGGAGGGGTGGGTGATGATCTTGCCAGCTTCCCTTTTTGTTCTTGAGACATGTAGTGAGTAAGTGGGAGTGAAGTTGCATCCATTGACCTTCCTGACTGCTCGGATGACACGGCGCAGCCTCTGGAAATCCTGCCTGGTGGCTAAATTGAACCAGACCATGATGAAGGAGGTGAAAACTGGTTCGAACACAGCTATATAGAACAAGACCACAAATTACAGATGACTTGGGCATTGACAGAATGAAATAGCATTTGACTGACAAAAGTAACTAATTATAAGGATGTCAGCATTGTCGAATATGGAAATATTCCAGAATATGTATAAAATCTAAAAAAATCTTAAAATCGAATAATAAATTAGCTATTTTAAATACTATTTAGCAGCAATTTAATTACAGTAGTTGTGATTTAAGTTTGCTGTTTATTTGTTTACATGTGCAATTTTTATATCTCTGCACGTGCTCTTTGAGCCAATCCTAATCATTTTTGTCCTTGCTCACTCATACTGTGGTGCGTCTGACAAATTTAACAAGAAATAATGAGGCTAACAAGAACTGATGACCGGAAGATATTTGTGTTTCACTATGGAAATATTTTGGATTCCATTGAGATGATATTGAGCAAATATAAGTGATTTGTAAGCACTGCCGTGTGTGAGTCTGTTGGTACAATTTGTGGCGACCAGTGTAAAAGAATCACATTGCTGATGTTCATTTTATTTGCAATTTTACACACCGATAACCCATAACATAAAAACCACCAAATATTGTGTATGTACCCTTCGTACCACCAAAACAGCTCTGACCAGTTGAGGCATGGACTCCACAAGTCCTCTGATGGTGTCCTATGGTATGAGATTGGCAGCAGATCCTTTAAATCCTGGAAGTTGCAAGGTTGAGCCTCCATGGATCTGACTGGTTTGTCCAGCACATCCCACAGATGCTCAATTGGACTGAGATATGGGGAATTTGGAGGCCAAGTCAACACCTTGAACTCTTTTTTCATGTTCCACAAACCATTCCTGAACTATTTTTGCAGTGTGGCAGGGTGCATTATCCTGCTGAAAGAGACCACTCCCACTGGGAAATACCGTTGTCAAGAAGGGGTGTACCTGATCTGCAACAATATTTAGGTAGGTGGCACATGTCAAAGTAACATCTACATGAATGCCAGAACCCAAGGTTTCCTAGTAGAACATTGCCCAGAGCATCACAACGCCTCTGCCAACTTGTCTTCTTCCCATAATGCATCCTGCTGCCATCTCTTCCCTAGGTAAACAATGCACCCACACCCAGCCATCCACATGATGTAATAATAAAATGTGACTTTTCAGTTCTGGCCACCTTCTTGCATTGCTCCATGGTGTGGTTCTGACACTCACATGCCTATTGTAGGTGCTTTCGACAGTGGACAGGGGTCAGCATGGGCACTTTGACCAATCTGCGGCTGCGCAGCCCCATACTCAGCAAGCTGCGATGCCCTGTATGTTCTGACACCCTTCTATCATAGCCAGCTTAACTTTTCCAGCAATTTGTGTTACAGTGGCTCTCTACAAAGCCTTTGTCCCCACGGGTATCAATAAACCTTGGGCACCCATGATCCCATCGCTGGTTCACCTACTGGCCTGCTTAGAAATACTTTTGGTAGGTACTGACCACTACACTCCTAGAACCCCCCTTGAAACCTGACGTTTTGGAGATGCTCTGATCCAGATGCCTAGCCATCACAATTTGGCCCTTGTGAAAGCTGCTCAGATCCCATTTTTCCTGCTTCCAACATATCAGCTTCAAAAACTGACAGTTCACTTGAATAATATATTATGGCACCATGAGATAATCAATGATATTAATTTAATCTGTGAGTGTTTTTAATGTTATGGCTGTTATTATGATGTTAGAATTACAATTAGAAGTATTCCTACCTGTGAACAGAGGCCGGCTCTCTGTATGGCACCCAGGTTCACTGGCTGGCTGTTGACAAGAACAGAATTCTTCCAGATTCTATTGGAATTCTTCCATGAATTTTTTTTATGTCATCTTCCTATCTTCCATTTGTTTCACTCAGGACAATCTTGCAACTTCTCCCATTGTACTGTGCATTTTTTTCTAGCTGGTAGTCCTGGAAACACAGCTGTTTGTTGGAACACCCATAGACGGGGCAGTCTAATGATCCGCTATAACGTCCAAACTGTAACACTTTTAGGGGCTTGCACTCTTCTGCATTTGTGATTTTGTGCATTTTTTCCATGTGGACGGAAACTTTAAGCTGGAGCTTGGGACAGTGAAAGGGGGAGAAGCTGAGGCAGTACAATGGCGGATGACAATGCAAATGGAAGAGGAGTGTGTGCACAGAGAGCTTAGGATCAAGCGCTACATTCAGCATACATTCACCTGCAGAGTCCTTTGAGCTTTCGAAACCGCAAGAGTGGGTCAAAAGGATAAAGGGATTCAAAAGATTTTGCACAGCAAGTAACTTAAATGCTAGTTCTGATGCTAATCAAATAAATACACTAATTTACTGTATGGGTGATGAGGTGGATGATATTTTGCGTGGACTTACTCTGACAGAGGAACAAAAGTCTACATATCAAGGTGTGTGTGAGGGCTTCCAGAACTTCTTTATAGTGAAGAAGACTTATTTATGAGCAAACAGGAAGAAAGTGAAACTGTTGACTCTTCTGTGAGGCGTCAGCAAACTTCTCTGTGCAGAAACTGAAGGACAGAGGGAAGTGAAGCTAAATCTGTTGACAGAGTATCTAAAGACAGCAGGAAAGTAAAAATTAAGCCTCACTGTGCTAGTAGCCAACGAGTGAAGCCTCGACTTAGTCAACAGAGCAAGGGGAGAAATAGTCAGTGCCCTAAATGTGGCAGCTGCCCATTCCATTCAAAACGTGGATGCCCAGCAAAGGACGTGAAGTGCCATGGTGCCATTGGTGTTACCAGCCTGCTGCTGAAAAAGGGGGTGAGAGAAGACGTGTGTGTCATACGCCATCTGCACACCGTGTTTGTGAGAAAGCCTGCTATTGGTTAGCTGGAGCTAGTGGCACATTTAGGCAGCATCACCGTGGAAACGCTAAAAATGAGCTATCCAGAGCTCTGCAGTGGTCTTGGGGAAGTGTGACAGCCATATGCTATGAAACTCAAGCCAAGGGCTGAAACATTCTCACTGAAAACACCCAGACAGATTCCATTGCTGTTAATGTCACGTGATTTTGCCCAGTGGCATTAGCCCTGACCCGGGGAAGACAGAGGCCATCAGGACAATGAAAGAGGCTGCAAATCTGAGCGAGCTGAGGAGCTTCCTTTGAATGGTCAATCAGCTTGGGAAGTTCATCCCACGACTTGCTGAGAAAGACAATCCTTTGTCCAAGAAGAACTGCTGGCTGTGGGGTTGTAAAGAGGAGAAAGCTTTTAATGGACTGGAAGCGGCATTGGTTTCCTCATTGTCGTTAGCCATATATAACACAAACAGAGTCTGTTAGGTGTCAGCGGATGCGTCGGCACACGGCTTGGATGGCATTCTGCTGCAAAAATTGGAGGTGGAGTAGAAGCCAGTAGCCATGATGTGTCATGATCTCTCCCACAGACAGAGCAGAGATGTACACAGGTGGAGACAGAGGCACTGGGCCTGAGCTGGGCCTGTGAGAGGTTCAGGAACTCCCTCATCAGCAAACATTTCTTTGGGGAAACTGATCACCAGCCACTATTAAGTCTACTCCCTCCACGTATTCAGTGCTTTAGCATGCGCCTCGTGCGTTACTCATACTCCATTGATCATGTGCCGGGGAAGAGGAACGTGCACCGGTGAAGTGGAATGTGGCACCTGATGAAAACAAATTCTTTGAAGGGACAATCATATACAGTATGTGGACATGGTCATGGGAAACCTGGCAGCGAGTGCACTGTACCTGGATGAGCTTAAACGGGAGCTGGAGAGAGACAGTGTGTGTGCATGAGTGATGCAGCTACTGTATGTAAAAATGGCTGGCCAGCACTCTGCAACAGTGAGCCAGGGCTCAGGGTGTACAGGGCAGAACAGGCCTACCTCACTGTTAAAGATTGGCTTTTGCTGAAGGGAACTCAACTTGTTATCCCCTCAACCATGAGAAATGATGTGCTTGCCAATCTGCATGAGGGTCACCAGGGTGTGTTGAAACAACAGTCAGTATGGTGGTCGGGCCTGAGTCAGCAGCATGAATTGACCCTAAACTGCCAAATATGCAGCAAAGAAAGAAAGAACCACAAAAAGCCGCTGATACCCACAGAATACTCAGAGCAACCATGGCAGAAGCTGGGGGTGGACTTGTTCACACTGGGGAGCAAGACCTGCTGGTGGTGGACTAGGCATCGAGATACAGCCGCGGAAATAATTAAGACTATATTTTTAAAGAAATCTGTTTAAATCCTGATTTAATCATGTCTCTACTAGCAGAAGCTACGCTGATTAGCAGGTTGCTTCCAGGTTCAAAATCTCTAAGACAGCAGTACACACGAGTAAGATGATGCAGGAGACACTGGGAATGACCAGAAACCAGGCAGGTAAAGGGCAAAAGTGACATTCTAATGCCAAAGGTGACCGTCATTATATTCAGCAGTTTCTCATGAATCGGTGGATGACATCAAGCAACTTTCAAAAGGTATGGGAAACATTAAGCTCAGGTGTGAAGTGCACTGCTAGGACAGGCTCCTAGAAGCAGGACTGAAGTCCTGTAAAGCAAGGAAGAAGCCCTTCATCAATAAGAAGCAGGGAAGAACTAGGCTGCAGTTTGCAAATTATATACATGTATATATACAGTGGAACCTCGGATTACGAGTAACGCGGTTTACGAGTGTTCCACAAGACGAGCAAAGATTTTTAATAAATTTTGACTTGGAAACCGAGCAAGTCCTGGTTTACAAGCACCAAGTATCATCAAAAATCATATGGCACACATGCGCTCCTTGTTTTTTTTGTTACGTGCGCTCGGCTTCAAAACAGGAAGCGCATGCTCATGGTTATTCACTTTCTCACGCTGTGGAATTGTGGGTAATTGTCTCCCATGCTCGGTCTCAGTCGGCATGCCTCACTCGTATAGTCAAAATTTAGTAGAAAAACACCACCTGAATAAGGGCGTAGCAGTGCGAGTGATGAATCTGTTTAACGACAATGCAATGTCCACATTTTTGTGAAATCAAAAAGGAGGGAAAAGAGGCTGTCATTGGATGGGTTCCTTGTTAAAGTCTCACAAACAAGATACAAACAACAGATAGCAGTGATTCCGTTAATTATAGTAAAAGTTGTCCTACAAAATAACCCTCCTCTTCTCCTCTCTCATCTCCCTCACACCATCCACGATTCTTTTCAAAGGTAAAGCGCAGGTTAATTTGTTTTATGTATTTTTACTTTATATTTTGTATTAATAATTTTTATATGAATATTTTTGAGTTGTGAAATGGATCATATGAGTTTCCATTATTTCTAATGGGAAAATTCGCTTTGATATACAACTGCTTTGGATTACAAGCATGTTTCCGGAACTAATTATGCTCGTAAGGTACCACTGTATATATATTGGCTGTAGTCTCTTAAATTTTCCACGGTTGTATGTGGAGACAGATGTTATTGTTCACCTGAAATCAATTTTTACATGGCATCACATTCCTGAGACGTTAATGACAGACAATGGGCCACAGTTCTCTGGAGCGGCATTCACAGCATTAGTCCAGCCTTACAACTTCCACCATGCCAGCAGCAGTCCGAACTTTTCCCAAAGCAATGGCAAAGCTGATCATGCAGTAAAGACCATGAAGGATCTCCTCAAAAAAGCAGCTGATCCCAACCTCGCTTTGTTGGCATCATGGGCGTTGTTAGGTCCGATCACTCGGGGCTATAGCCCCAAATAATTTTAAGCCTAGCCCGAGTATTTTAATCCTGATAAACTTGACTTAGCCCCTGATTGGCATACAGAGATACCTCATTGCAAAATGGTTACAGTCCTGCTCAGCTCCTCATGGGGTAGACAGCTTTGCAAATGGCTTTGCTCGATCCTGCTCTTCCCGATGGTGCTGCTGCCCAGAGGGAAAGGGAGAGGTGAATAAGGGATGCACAACAGTACAACAGGCAACATCGCACAAGAGACCTCTCACCAGGGCAATCACTATGGGTGACAGACCAGAGAACACCTGGAACAGTGTAGGGTGAACACATCACTCCACATTCATACCTCGTGCACGGCCCTTATGGGACAGTGAGACGAAATCGCCATAATCTCATTCCTGTACCAGCTTCGCCTGAGCAGAGCAGTGGTGGCACTCATGACCCATCCCAAGATTGTGTGCCACTGCAGAGTTCTGTTGTACAAGAACCACCAAGACTAAGTACAGCATAAACTCCTAGAACCAGGTCTGGAAGAGCTGTGGTGAGACTAAAATATGTATATAATGATGCAAAATGGGAAGCGCTGTGAATGTGTTTCAAACATGTTTAAAATATGCCTCAGAGACTATATAATTAATAGCTACAGAGATATAAAAGGTTACCCCCAAATGAATGTGTTGTTACACCCATGGCTAACAGAGATTCCCTACAAATTCTACTTCTACTTGGGTTGCTGTGTAGCTCGATAGGTTGAGCATGAAGCTTCAGAGGCGGCCTCCCCTCTTGTTCTTCCTTGTTGCCCCATGGTGGCTGTTTCTTGTGTTGCTGTGTGATTCTTAGTTGTAGTTACCCCATGTTAGTTATTGTAGTTCCCTGCATTTCCTCCTACCCTTGGTATTGTGGTTCCTGCTGTTGGTCCTGCCTTAGTTTAGTTTTTGACCCCTCAAGGTCCGTTTGTTTTCTGTTTCCCCATTTATGTTCTGTTTTGTTTTCCCGTGGATTGTCTCTTCCTTCATCATGCCCCACCATAATACAAAACAGTATACATGCAAAATAAATGGCGGCCACTCCATACAACCCATACATGAAATATCTACACAATACGCTAAAAAAGCAGTCAAGCCGTACTGGATTCCAAAAGAAGTAATCAATTGCCAAAATGAGGGTCACAGTAATATATGTATCCATCCATTTTCTATAATCTCTATTAACCTATCCAGGGTCGGGGGGGGGGGG